TATATGGACTGGGGGGGCATCACATAGGTACTAAGCAATATACACTACGCAGTACTAGTACTAGTAGTCCCCGGATTACCCTCCCTAATAGAGACAAGTGTCAGGGGGTCTCAATACTTGGATATCCACCCTTTTCATCAACTCACAGGCCAAGTTCATTCAAATGGTTCAAGATATAATACTGCAAAATAGAACACGCGACACCCGTTTGATCCACATTGAAATGGTGTTTGCTCAATTTTATCTGTTGTTACATCCACATCTATCTTTAGACCTTGGTATAGCGCAGGTAAGGCTTAACCTCACGAACTTCACCAAACTTCTTCTGGGCATCCGCAGTACTGACAGAGGGAGGCACGATGACATCATCACCAACGCTCCAGTCGATCGGGGTAGCTATACCTTTCTTATCACCGGTCTGGAGGGAGTCGATGACCCGCAGGACCTCAGCGGAGTTTCGGCCCGTGGAGGCGGGGTACATCATGGTCAGGCGGATCTTCTTGCTCGGGTCGATAATGAACACGGAGCGAATAGTGAATGCGATTTCCTTCTGTCCGATGCTATCCTGGTCGATCATGTCGTAGAGGAAGGCAACTCTGCGGTCGGCATCGGCGATGATGGGGAATGAGACTTGTGTCGAGCCGACTTCGTTGATGTCCTTGATCCACTGGTCGTGGGAACCAAGCTCATTGGCACTCTGGAGAGAATGGGCGCATCAGCTAAAGCTGTGTAGGAGTTGTAAATGGCGGGGACTCACCAATCCGATCATCTTAACGCCACGTGCGTCAAATTCATCCTGAAGGCGGGCGAAGGCACCCAATTCGGTGGTACACACCTAATACCACGTTAGTTTAGTGTATTCGTAGAGCATATTGGTGAGAAATACAGGTGTGAAGTCTGCCGGGTGTGAAAAGAGGATGGTCCACTTGTCACCGATGAACTCGTGGAAGTCAATCTCGCCCTGGGTGGTCAATGCCTTGAAGTTGGGGGCTATCTTGTGTTAGCATGGTATCGTTGGCAAATTCAATCCTGTGAGACTGTACCAACTGAGCCCAGGCGCAGATGCGGCTGGTCCAACTTAGCTGAGATGAAGCGACGGAAGGCGGGCGCACGCGGCACCTGTGCAGACCACGAGGGCCGCGGAGCAGCTCTGAATGCACGGAACATCTGAGGGCTAATTTTAGAAGCCATGATTGTTAAGAGCGAAAGGTGAATTGCAAGGTTGACTCGGGCCGTTCAAGGGACCTGGAGCGTGAACCCGTTAACCCGTGGACGTCATCAAATCTGACTAAGCACCAGCTTGGGCCTCGGTGGCCTCAGGCCCCAAGTACCAAGATGTAACTAAATAGTTATGTGACCGAGTTTTGGATGTTCAAGCATGACAATATCCTTATAAGTTGGCTTCCAAGGGTCTAACATCTTTCCGGTATTGAATCTAAAAGATACCTATATATATATATATATATATATATATATATATATGTGCACTTGAGGATCTTGCATATTGTGCTACGCAAACTGCGGGGATTTTAAAATCGACAGATTTATGCAGCCAAGCCCAAATTGGATTGAGATACGAACTTGTATCCTATTCATAGAACACCTTTCTATGGTTGCTATACAACATAACTAGTACTAGTTACCTAGGTAAGTAGATTAGAGAAATAAAAAGTGTTGCGTCCACGGGTTGAACTGGATCTTATGATTGGACAGTCCCAATCTCAGACTCGATGTGTCCACAACATTTGTCAGCCAATGCCGGGGCCCCGTCCACGGGTTGGATGATAAATTTTTCGAACCCTTACTTAACTGGTAGCTTCGATCATATTCCTACGGAGTACAACTTGGAAAACTATGCATTTTTCTGGAAAAGAAAAGGGAGCAACTTCTTACACATCAAATGGAGGTCTATATATGTTGTCTACACCTACGGAGTACTGATTACTTGAACTAACAAAACTTCAAAGCCAAGCTTTTGTGGGCCCTAGATGGATCTTGCTCACCAGGAGATAAACCCTTTTCCCTCATAAGCCAGTGGATCCCTTTTTGATGGTCTGGTCGTTCGCATTCCCCTCAGGAGGTTCCCTTGCCTTCAAAATGGGACGGTTTCACTATCTACTCGGTTTGCTATTATTATTCATTTGTTCATTTCTCTGGATTGCATCAAGCCTGGCCAAACACCCACCAAGCATCGTTCTTACTCATGGGTCCTATGCCTGCAACGAAGACAATGTTACCGCCACCTCAGATGCCGCCATTATACCCTCAAATCAACCGGACCCTTCTATTAAAGATATGAAACCAACGTCGAAACCGAAAACACCAAGCTACCTCCCAATCGCAAACTCCCACGATCATCACACACAGTCCTCAATCCCATTCAAGCTCTGGCAAAAGGCCGGTTCACAGAAAATCAACGACGCCCGCCAGAAAGACATCCACAGCTGGCTAGATGTGAACCCAGGTCTACGACATGAGATCCTCACAGACGAAAGTGCAGACGAATACGCTCGTGAATATTTTGCCGAATACCCAGACGTCCTAAACCACTATCTCTCACTGCCGGTACCGATTCTGAAAGCCGATCTCCTTCGTCAATTGATTTTGTACGCCGATGGTGGAATTTGGAGCGATCTTGACGTGACATGTCACCTCCCAATCTCCACCTGGATCCCGGAGCAATACCAAAACAAAACAAATGTCGTCGTCGGATTGGAATTCGACGGGTTCCAGTTCGCAAGTTGGACGATAATGACAAAACCCAAGACAAGCCATATCGTCGCCATCATCAAATATGTTCTCGATAAATTGAAGGCGGCTGCTGCACAGCACCATGTGACCACTGCCGAGCTGAACATGACGATGATCAGCGATGTGGTGGACATTACGGGTCCGCAGGCCATGACTGTCGCCATACTGCAGAACCTACAAAAGGAAATGGGCGTTCCTGTCGGTCGATCGAATATAACGAATATCAAAGAACCCACCCTATTCCAGGACGTGCTTGTGCTCCCGAATGCGGCCTTTGCCTCTAGACAGGGTGGGTTTCCGGAGGATAGAGGGCCTTATTTTGTCGAACACCATTACGCTGGCTCTTGGAAGAATGCCAATGGTGGCGAGACAAACTTGTGATATGTTCGAACCTTCTTGTATTGGCGTTGCACCGCACGAAACATATGTGACACGACGGACATATAAGCATACAACTATAAAACATAATCTAATCCTTGCATCCAGGGTTTACTTAACTCTCAGGAAAGTGACTATTGCTAAAATAATAATTGAATTTAAATTCCTGTCGACTAAGGCTTTGTAACCTTGCAGCCGAACTTGTAGGGTAATGCTATTCATTGATACATACCAGAGTAGTCGGCCACTTATGCGGCCTTGTCATGTCTTTTTGGTGATCTTTTGGTGATCGTTACTATCAATACTTAAGAATATCCTTTAGCCAATTCCAAGGTGTTGAGTAGGGGATGGTGCCAGGTGGGCTCCATCCTCCTAGGTATAAAAGTGAAAATGATGCTTCAGAAGAAGTAGACGGTGCTTATAAGTTAGGTGAGATACTAATACAATGGAAGATAGTGTCTTAGAAAGTGATGATGGGTATAGGCAAAGAGAACTAACTACTAAAGAAGTGCTGGTTTACACCTGGACGAGGAAGTGATGCACATAGGGCATAGTGTGCTTTCATTTTCCCATCTGCGTTTAATAGGAGAGTACAAAATCCCAAGGGAAGGCCACAATAACCACAATAACCACTCCAGTTTTCAGTCACTCCACATCTCCTAGGGATCGCAGATCAAGTCCAACACAGCCTTGAGGCGTGGGCTGTCAGGACCCTCTCAGACCTTGGCTTAGACCCAGTCAAGCAGTCCCTTCACGCCCTTCTTTTCAATCTGATCGTAGCTCGGCGGTGCATCAATCATGTCAAATGGGTCTTCCCGGCTATCGCAGTCAAGGCCCCAAATCGAAACTTGTCGGTATTGCTAAGTGATCTGTACGCCGAAGACAAACAATCAACGAATAGGGAGTTCAGCAGGTCACTAAAATATCGAGTGTTCTACAGTATGCATTACAGTGCGTAATTGAAAATTAGATCAGCAGAGGGGTAGGTAAGTACTCAAGGAACTAGGTAGCCCTGTTACAACCTGCCCCTAGACTGGCAAGTTACAAACTAGGCCAAAGACCATTATATCTGAGCATTACGCTCAGATAGACCAGGCTGCGATATATATAATGCATGACATGACAAGCCCCCTATCTTTCCACGCTTCACTACCAGTATTTCCTCCACCATGGACCCATTCGCTCAACTGCCCTCAGAACTGAACCAACAAATTCTCATTCTTATGGACGGTTTTGCCGTAGAGAACCTCATATCCGCATCCTCCCACGTCCACGCTGTCTTCCGGGCTCAACCCTCCACTATACATGACCTCATCCTGGAAAATCCTATTACTAGCTTCCCCGAGATATAAAGACTATGCTATAACATCAGCCTTATTCCTTCCTACCTATCACTATACAGATTTTGCCGACAGCCAGCAAGTATATGAGGGCAGGCCAAATCTAGATTATAGGGCATCACTCGGCATCGTCCACCTGGCTGCCGGAGTATAGAGCCTTGCCTGTGTATGTCTGTCGCTCACGCAGCAGAGATTTGCCTCTACCCCCAGTGAGATACCAGTCAGCTCTCTGAGCGGACCTAAGCGCGCAGAAAAGGCATGGAAGTCCTTTCATAGATTGAAGAATACCGCACGTACTGGTCCCTCTTTCATCTCCAACACTATTCAGCCCTTCGCAATGCTGCAATGGGACGCTGGAATTGGGCTGCGCAATCAATATAGGACCTAGACGTATATAATGTCTGGAATGAAATACTTAAATCAAATGCCGAGCAGATCTAGACGATTGCCGCCCTTTAGCCAGACCGAGGCCTTACCCCATCATCCTATGGGCACTACGCTATGGAGCTGGAGGTATCTTAGTGCTTCAAAATGGGCGCGGAGGGACCCGAATCCTCCTATGCTGCCTGGGAATTCCCCGGGGAAACACCAATTCCTTTCCTCCACTCTTTCAACCTGCCCCCTAGTGAGTCTATGACTCTATGCCCATCTGGTCTCCGGCGCCCATACCCCCCGAAAACGAAGCAAGAAGCAACAACATCGACACAGTGGCAGCTTTCATTAGAATGGCGCTCACTAGTACCAATGCATGTCAAGTTCTTCCGAAGCGTAAACCAGATGATCTCTCGTGCGCATCACCGTTCATTGGGCTTGACTCTTGACTCAAGAGTCAAGAGTCACTTCAGGCCCGTGTCATTTGGGACTCGTGGCGGATGTGCACTGTTAGACTGTGTTATTTCCCTTCTTGGGGTCCAGGGCTTGATCCACCTAACCTGGATGGTAGCGTTTTCGAAGTGGGACACGAGAAACCGGATTTTGGGCCGAGATGGTTAGCGTTGGTCGGGGAGCTTGCCTAGTTTCCAGATGAATGAGAAAACATTTGACATTGACATTTGATCCGTCAATCATATATCTGTTTGATACAGATATATAGTAAAACGCACAGTCGAAAGATAAATTACAAACTATAGTCCCTCAAAAATGCCCCATTTTTTTAGGGTTGTGCTACAGCGACCCCCCGGCTAGATCGAGGCCTGAAAATTTAATCACCGCCTTCTCGATCAGGTGCGACACTAGATTCTGCCATGCTTTATACGTGGAGTTTTCTGCCATATATTCTGCCACCACTATTGGAATCCTGGTTTATATAGTAAAAAACACTACATTTTGATGAGTAAAAATCGTATATTTCTGCCTGATTATTGCCTTATTACTTTACTTCTAATACACCTCCCTGTGCGCGCTTTGGTCCTCGGTCACGTCCTCGATCGCGTCCTCGATCGTGTCCTCGACCATATCCTCAATATCCTTAACCACGTCCCCGTCAGAATTAACGAAGAAAGTGATGATAAAAGGGGTGGCGAGGAGGCAGGCTAATATATGTAAACTATAATTAGAGTATCAATTTAAATACGGAGTATTATGTGACCAAAGTGACTTAATTTTGTTAGTAGTTTACATACAAATTGTAGGTATCTGCTGTCTTGCAGTTCGACATAAAGGCGGTGTAAAATTTCTAAGGCGGTATGGAGAGCGTTAGGCAGAATCAGGTATCAATTTAGTGTCGCACTCGATCGGGAAGGCGGTGACTAAATCTTCAGGCAGGTAGGGGTCGATCTAGCGGGGGGGGGTTGCTATAGCACAACGCTTTTTTTATTGTATGGTCGTAGGAAAGCTGCTCCGCCAGGGAAAATGTGGTACGTACAGGCACATACATACATACCTAGGTAGATAATGTATAATGTACCCAGGTGCGTAGGCAACAACTTGAAGATTCGTGACGTCACATCATTGTTCAACCGTCGGTTCCTGTATGTACCCCACACGGGCCGCAAAGCTTAATCTATTGAATCCCCAACTCCACAATAATCCACAATGTAGACAATACGTAAATAGTTATGCTATTGTACCACGAGACTATTGATCGATAACATTCTAATTGATTGGAGGGCTATGTCTGAAGCTGCCTGAAGGCTGCCTTGGGTGGGTAGGGGACCGTTTGAATAGGTAGTCGTTCAATTCAGGAAGGAACGCGTAGGACTGGTCTTAAAACCTCGACTCTTGTTTTTGTTTTTCTCTTTCTTCTTCTTCTTCTTCTCTCTCCCCATCGTTGCCATTTCTTTTTCTTCTCTCTCCCCATCTTTACCTTTCGAAATCGTTTTTTTTTCTTTGAACCACAATGTCTCGCATCGATTCGTTTGTTTTTCTTGCCCTTTTTGCGGCCATCGCCGCATATTGGCACAGCGACATTGTCCAATTTGTTGGAAATGTTGTTGTTGGTTTCGCCTTGTTGGTGACGGGGATTTGCTGCATCAGCAGGTAAGTTGTTTCATCCCTCATATGTCCCATCCAAATACCCATCCATCAACCCATCCATCATCCCATCCGTCATCCCATCCATCATCTCATCCATCATCCCATCCAAATACCCATCCATCATCCCATCCGTCATCCCATCCATCATCCCATCCATCATCCCGTCCAAATACCCATTCAAATACCCATCCAAATACTCCATTGAAACTAACATTCAATAGCCCCCGCGCATGGCTCTTCCGGTTGGTGCAGTCGGTGGCAGTGTGGGTGGCCGATGTCGAAGCTACCCAGGCCACCCACCCCACCCACTGCACCGAGGCCACCGAGGCCACCGAGACCGAGAAGAGACTGAGGGCCCAGGTGACGGGTTTGGAGCAGAAGCTCCGTGGCACGGAGGCACGAGTTCGCTATTCCGAGATAGCCCGGGAGACCGAGAAGAAACGCCATGAAGAAGAAGTTTGCCGCCTGGACGCGGAACTGGCGAATGTCTCCCGGGGTATCAAGGGATCCCTGTATGCAAAGGACCAGGTCGCAGTCGAGTGCCGCCAGTGGCGACGCAAGTTCGAGGACCTGGAAGACCACCACCACCAGCAGCAGGAGCAGCAGCAGCAGGGCCTGAATCTCGTTCGCGAGATGAAGGGGCGTTCTCGTTGGGCCCCGGCCAAAAAGTACGGAGTTGGGAAGCGGGAACGTGGCCAGCAGAAAAAAACATTCACTGCCATTGCGCAGGTGGCGATTGTCAACGCCGCGTGGGAGTCGAAGCTGGTCAAGTTCGAGAGCGAGGCTCGAGACTATGTGGCCCGTACCGACGACCAGCTTCGGTCTCTCCACGGCGCCGCCACCGCGCTCAGCGACCAGAACGCCTGCCTCCAACAGCAGGTGAATGCGAACCACGGCATCACTCACGAGCTGACCCAGCAGCAAGTGAAGGATGCGGTGGCAAGCACGATGCTGTTTGCTGACCACAAGCACGAGGAGGCTGTGAAGGAGCTGAAGCAAGCCCATAGCGAGGAGCTGATGGCAGTCAAGGCTGGTCACGAAAAGGAATCGATGAAGGCAACATCGACTGTCAAGGCAGAGGCGGACACTGCGCGAACCCAGCAGCGTGAGGCGGCCGAGAGAGCGGCAAAGGAGGAAAGCCGCTTGAAGAAAGAACTCGGCGCCCAGGAAGCGCAGCTGGGCGAGCTTCAGGCCGCCAATGCCAAGACGGTCGGTGAGCTTCAAGCGGCCAATGCTCATATGCTTGGTCAGCTTCAAGCCAAGGAGGAGGAGTTGAACGAGGCCATCGAGGAGATCCGCAGCCAGCGGGAGGCCCGCAATGACCTATCGGAGAGGTACACCCGGCTGCGGGTCGACTTCGGTGACCTTAAGGGGGAGAGGGATGACCTTAAGGTAATTGTCCGGGATCTCGACGACGCTTGGAAGGACCTCGCTGCAGACGGGGAGACGTTACATCAGCGGATCGAGATCCTGGAGGAGGAAAACCGGGTGTTGCACGAGAACCTCACGGAGCTTGTTCGGACGTCGGTGCTCGCGGGGATCGACCTGCAGCAGAGTCGCCGCAGGGCTGACAATCTGCAGCAGCAGGTCGCAACCCTTGAGACCGCAGACTTGACCGCTGCGGTGAGCGGCATGGGGGTCGGCGCTGAGTAAGCCGTCCCACTTGCCTCTCCACCGACCCCAGCGATCTCCGTTGTTCGACTGCTCACTCGGTTTCCTCCACCACTTACCTCAAGGCGCCTTCTCCTTCTCCCTCCTTCCTCCTTGTTGTCTTTCATCCATTCCCTTCCCCCTTCCCCGCTGCCCCATCCCAACCTGGTGTTCTCTTCTCCCCCGCCGCGACCGACGGTCATTACCCCATTACATCACAGCATGTCCCGTTGGTCACTCACGCTCCTATGAATTCTTCACCATACCGCTCGTTTGCCGCTCGGCCATTGATGCTGAGTCTGGCCAACCTTTTCTTCATCGCCGTATCGCAAGTTCCTTTCACCACTGCTGCGCCTGTCTTGTCTCCTCTTTTTCTGTCATCCCGCGACACAGAACCACCAAAGGAACCGAGCGATCCGAGTTTATGGCTTTACTTGGGATTTTCAGCTGCTCTTGTGTTGAGCGGTGGAGCATTTGCGGGTCTTACGATTGCCTTGATGGGACAAGTAAGCTCTTTCCAATCCGGTTAAAAATTCCCCGATGAACCAGGCTGACATCCTGATTGCTTCGTCGTACAGGATGAAGTTTATCTCCAAGTTATCAAGACTTCCGGTGAAGGCCCCGAAAGGAAAAATGCCACTAGTGTTCTCAACCTCTTGAACCATGGAAAACACTGGGTTCTTGTCACGCTCCTCCTCAGCAATGTTATCACAAATGAAACATTACCCATTGTCCTTGACCGAACACTCGGTGGTGGTTGGCCGGCGGTGTTAGGAAGCACTGCTTTGATTGTCATCTTCGGTGAAATTGTTCCGCAGTCCATTTGCGTCCGCTACGGTCTTCCCATCGGTGCCTGGATGGCACCTTGCGTCTTGGTCTTGATGTACATTATGTCCCCAGTCGCCTGGCCAATCGCAAAATTGCTAGACAGGTTGCTTGGAGAGGATCATGGTACTATCTACAAAAAGGCCGGATTAAAAACACTCGTTACTCTCCACAAAACCTTGGGTGAAGCCGGAGAGCAACTCAACTCTGATGAAGTGACCATTATCAGTGCAGTTCTCGACCTCAAAGAGAAGTCAGTAGGCAGCATCATGACACCAATGGATGATGTCTTCACTATGTCCGCCGACACTGTCTTGGACGAACGCACGATGGACCACATTCTTTCCCAAGGATATTCCCGCATTCCCATTCACGCCCCTGAAAATCCGATGAACTTTGTCGGTATGCTCCTTGTCAAGATGCTCATTACATACGACCCGGAAGATTGCAAACGGGTCCGCGAATTTGCTTTGGCTACACTTCCTGAAACACGTCCTGAAACCAGCTGTCTGGATATTGTGAATTTCTTCCAAGAGGGGAAGTCCCATATGGTTCTTGTCTCTGAATATCCTAGTGAGGATCGTGGCGCTCTTGGAGTTGTCACCCTAGAAGATGTCATTGAAGAACTGATCGGAGAAGAAATCATTGACGAATCTGACGTCTTCATTGATGTCCACAAAGCCATCCGACGAATGACACCTGCACCCAAGTCTCGGGTTGCCAAAGGCAAGATCGTCGAGGAGCCCCCGTTGAATGCCTCTATCGTCACCGACGGCGACTTGATCGATGTAGATGCCACACAGGCTTCATCTCTCCCTAAGCCTTCCGACTTGATTCGACGCCGCAGTTCGGTGGAAGCACCACTGCCCCGCTTTCAGCTTCGCAAAACTAATACCGACATCAATCAAGACTCAGCAAATGAATGGGTCACACAAGTCGGCACCACAGATGAGATTCGAGAACACCTCAAACATCTTGGTCCCTCCAACCTCGCCAGCAGGCCGCGCCAAACCCGTTACCATGCCGTCAAGATAAAGCGCAACAGCGCCTCTCCCTCCCGCTCCGCACAAACCGACTTTGAGTCTGGACAAAGCACCTCCGACTCCCAAAAGCTTATCCCTTCTTCTACTGGCTACCAAGGTGGCATAGGCGCGGGCTTGCTCAACTCCGCTGGAACAGACGCTAAGGATGGTGCGCATGCTCTCAAACTTGGCTACGGCACTATGACTTCGCAGGACAGTGTGAGCAAAGGCACCGGTGCTCAGCAATACAAATACCTTCCCCAAGTCTCCATCCCCGAGGCTGTCCGTGAGGAACACGAAGACCAACCGCGTTCTGGGTCGACGCGCGAGGCTAGTAGTGTTGCTTTACGCGACGATTCCGAAAACCAACCGCGTTCTGGGTCGACGCGGAAGGCTAGTAGTGACGAAGGCAGTGTTGAATCCCCTAGTGCACCAGGATTTATTTACCACCACCGCGGACCGGCGCGTAGTGGAAGCATCACAGAACAGGTTGTGGATGTCAACGGTATTCGCAAAGTTGTCCTTCATGCAAATTGCGCGAGTTCCTCAGAAGGTGAATCCCATCCATCAGGCTATCATCGCCATCGCGACCACCACCATACCGACGGTTCAGTTCTTGATACCGATGACGCAAAATCAGAAAATCCCGACAGCAGCCACGCAAAACCCAAAAAGAAGCGCCGCCGAAAGAAGCATGGCAAAGCTTCAAAGTCTGATGATGGTCCCTCGGAGGACCAGCCGTTACTCCGATAAATTGTTCGTTACATAACTATGTAGTTCAATGAAATTCTAACCTTATTTCCCCAATTATGCCTGTATGTCTACGTAATTGTGTATGCCCACTGAGAAGCCTAAAAAAAATCAATTCTTTAGATGTAGATTCCAGTCACAGCCAACCTTGGAAAGCAATGGTTGATTTAAATGTAATGTTGGTGGAGAGATCGATCCCAGAATAGACCAACATGTAAACTATGCGGATCATGCAGATCATGCAGATGGTTACATCTACAATTATAACAAGCCTCGCGACACAGATATAGAGCAGATTTGCTTTGATTTTTCTCTGCCTAGATACATGAATAATATCTCCAAAAGACTCCCCAAAATAACAGGATGAGATCACCCAATGACGACAACTATACCAAAAGGTATATGCAACATGTAATCGCTATCCATAAAAGACGTCCCTCCATAAAGTTGTCCAATGTTCGGTGAGGCCTCGTTAAAACCGACCGGGTTGAAAAACTCATTTGAGAAAATGGCCCGGCTCGGAAAAAGAGTACCTCACTTGGTTCTTGGGTTGATGAATCGAAGGGCTTGTAGAACCTCACCGGGTTCGTGGGTTGATGAATCGAAGGGCTTGTAGAACCCCATAGGTTCCCCAAACTCGGGATGAGGCGATCATTGCAGAAGGGGATCCTAGGAAGGGAGTTAGTTTTGCAAAATAAAAGAGTACAGGTGGAACATACGCGGTAGTGCTTCTGGTGGTTGTTGGCTCTTTGGACGCGGGCGAGGTAACGGTTCTCTTGGCGAAGGGCACGAGTTCTCTCGCGACGTTCGGCAGTGAGAGCAGCTTCCTTTTGTTCTTCGGTGACACCAATCATGCCCATGCCGCCGTTGGCACGAGTGACGAGAGCGCGGTGATGACTGGGGCGGGCGCGGGGCGGTTCCTCCTCGATCTCTCCATTCGCAATGGCAAGCTGGCGGGCAGCTCGTTCGGCGGCTGAGGGGTATTTGTGAAGGTTCTGCTTGTAGTACTTGGCAAGCGAACGGTGGCCGACACTCTTTCCAGATGGAAGGTGAAGCTCGTAGTCTGCCTCGTAGGCACCTGATGCATTTCGATATGAGTCAAGATCGTCCTCGTCGACGGAGGATGCAGAACTGTCGGTTTCCCAACCTTGGTCCTCTCCATCTCCGTTCACCTTGACACCACCGCTGTCGGTAGTGGATTCGTCTTCATCTTCAGAGTAGGTGCTCCGGAAATCGTAGTATTGTCCGATCTCAACTTGCTCTTCTTCGGACTCGAAAGCAATCATGCAGTGGCTCTTGTCGCGCATGTGGGTTTGGATGGCCTGTGCGTCGTTCTTGATGGCATGGCAGTAAAGGCACTCGAAGTTCTCGGTGATTTTTCGGTAGAGATAGTTGACGAGACCGTCGAGATCCGCTAGATATTTTTGCTCGGGGATGAACAAGCCGTGGTCTATGCGCATGTGGTCCACGTTGGTGTGGATATCGGTTGATTCGGTTTTGCAGAAGAGACAGCGAGACGCCAAGAAATCGTCTTTCTTGATCTCGGATTCCATATCCTCATCTTCCTCTTCATCGATGGTGGCAGTCTTGAGGTCTTCGGTGACCTCGCTGACGTCATTGTCGGACTTGGTCACAGGTTCGCCGAGAGAGAAAGCGGAACTCTGGACGGAGGCAGCATCGCCATCCTTACGTAGGCTGGCTGCGCGTTGCTTGTGCTTTGAGCTGTTGATGTGATTTTGGTACGAGTTCTCGCTGTAAAATCCCTTGTTGCAGGTGTGGCAGGTCTTTTCGTACGAAGCCTTGGCGGCGGCCTCGTTGGATGTAGCTTTGGCGGCAAGAACTTTTTCGTTGAAAGTCACGAGAGTGACGGGTGGTAGGGAAGCGATGCGACGCTTCATGTTGTATAGACTAAGGCAAATTAGCTTCTGAAGTCACAAAAAATACACATGCAAAAAAAAAGAAAGAAAGAAAGAAAGAAATTGAAGACTTACTGCCAGTCTTTGCGCATATGATCTCTCTGCGCATCGCTGCGTTGGAAGGCAACAAGACAAGTGTTGCAAGTATATTGCAGCGAGGCTGCATCTTGACTGGTCGACGACATATTGGTGGTGTTTCGAGTATCGTGGGTAGTTGAAAGGGCGGGTTTCCCCTGTGGATTGTGGGATGAAGATTTGTTGTAGGCGGGGTACATATGAAGGCTCTGCCTTGTCACGTTTTTGATGATTTTTTGATGATTTGATGGTAGATTGATGATCAAAGTGGATGGGGTTGATGAGACCCAGATGGATGTAAGAGAGAAGAATTTTTCAAAGGAAATGGTGCTTCGAGGGAGTCTTTATGCACTCGATAGATCCGTCATCCAACCTGGAAAGTTGATCTTCTGAATTATCCGTTCCTTATCGAGCGACTGAGCCCCTCTGAAAGTGCTACTAGTCCTAATCCGGTAAGCGTGATATTCATAAACAGCTTACTAATATCCGAAATGGTCGGCGGGCTGAGTAACCCAAGGTCCGCCGGACTATTTGACTTCCGTCAGCTCCGATCACAAGAGTGGATAGAATTTGCCTGAGGCATCATGATCTTACTACGTTATCATTAAGGCTGGGTGGAGTTGTCTTCCAAGGTTAGTTGCATTTATTCAACGCGTGGAGACGAGCAAACAACTAGCGCTCACTATCGCATACAACTATTCTCACACTCTCAGATATGCTATTCTGTTGAAAATGACAAGGCTCCGCGGAGGTTCCATCGACGACCCAGACATCGCGCGATCCGGCCACGGGCGAACTCACAGTTATCGGTCAAAGCTCCCACCAAACGCACCGGATGCGCTCATACAAAATACCATTGAGGTGTCGGATCCCTCAAGGGTGTTACCACGGTATCGTGATGACCGAAGACGAAAATTCAACAGCTTAGTGCGCAGGTGAGTGGGAACTCTAAATGCTGGGCCTCGACCTCCTAACTCCACATGACACTAATTGGTTTGGCGAAATAGGTACAAAGCCCAACTGCTTCACGGCTGCGATGATCCCGGATGTCGAACTTCTACATGTGCTAGTCATCGCCGAAGACTCAGTGAAGGTCCATATCGTCGATACACAGAACTCAGTGCGAGGACCCTAGCATGCTACCTCGCCAGCTTGGACGACCCAGAGACCGGGTTATGCCTGAACGTGCCTAAGCCGCCACCGCAATTGACAGCGGAAGATTACCATCGGATTTCCCTGCGCCGAACCCGTACCCTTGAAGCACAGACGGCAGCGGCTAACGGGTCGCCAAAACCGGACCGGTACGATGAAGACCACTCGCCCCACGACGTATCCAGTCCTGCACAAAATAGATCAGCCGTGTCGGAAGTTATAGAAGAAGGGCATTCTTCGCCCCAAATCCGCACCGGTAACAGCTATATTCGAGACCTCGACCATACCGCGGAGCAACAACTAAAAGACCCCAAGTCTTTTACACAGAACCTTTTTGATACAATCTCCCTTCGTATGGTCGAGTGGCTTCCCCTTCGCCGTGCCCCAGACACTATAGAGCCGAAGCCCAAATCACCTACACCAGAAGCCGCAAACCATCCATCTACTCATGAGAAGCACCACTACTATGCCGACAAAGTTCCAGACAGAGATGCCAAAATTTCAGGCAATTCCACGTTTGCAACCCAGGCCGGCTCTCAACCTCGTACTCCTTCATCGCGAACATCGGCATCTCAACCCTCCACGGTCGAGCTCAAGTTTCAGAACCAGCATGTCAAACGACTATCAGTCTCCGAGGTTGATCATTGGCGCCAGAGTCCACGCTCAAGTCTTGACGATAAAAGGAAACCAGAATTTAACAAGAAGCCCCCAGTGGCTTCTGATGAGTTTGTCCGCTTGCCCTCACCACCAGCGTTAAAGCACCGCCCGCAAAAGCACCGCGGAAGAATTGGGGATGCCGATTCGGTTTCCCTGAAGGAACGTCGCAAAAGTCAACGACGTGTCTCCTGGGATAGCCAGAAGCTGCTCAATGAGGTATCTCCTATCAATAATACGAAGAGCACGGAGCCCATGCCTCCTCCTCGCCGTCTCCCTCCTTCTGTTACCCAATCCCCCAGCGAGCGCAAAACAAAGCAAGTTCCTGTCGAAAACTCGCTGGACACAATTCCACTGGCTCAGACGGTCACTCATCTTACCCCCGAGATCATCGATGGTCTGTCACAGGTCATGATTGAATCCGCGGAAGATGCTGATTGCTGGGAGGAAGAACTTGATCTCATCCAGTGCACTGGCAGCTTTGAGCAGCCGGATTGGCGTTTCGCAACTCTCCGTCAGCGTGAAGTATTTCCGTTCGTTGCTCAAAGTGCATTTTTTGTGTTCAGCAGCCCTAGTCAGATTTTGCGCTCCTTTAGTAGTGAATCAACGGACATGATTGGGGTTACCTTCAGTCGCCTTGATATTTCCCGTCTGCGCTTATCACTGCAGCGCCTGTTCACGATTTGCCCGTGGGATATTGCACTACATAGTCTATGGAGCTCTCTGGACAAGCTGTTTGTTCCTCCGCTGGGATTTCCCTCTTCTGCACGGCCATCCCGCCGATCATCTCGAAGTTCGACCATGACAGGACCTGCGGCCCCTCCAGTCGTTCCCCGACGAATATCAGAATCTGCCAGTGAAGATCATCTGTCGGATCCTGATGCCGCCTACATTGCCACAATTGCCTTGTTCACTTTGATCAGCTTTGTGCCTAATATTGACTTGGGGACTTGGAGGACGGTGGTTCGGATGCGTGCCGCTGGGTCTGTAGCTTCACTGTCGGACATGCGCAACCTGCCTTCGAAGGATGCTCAGCAAGCCATCGAGGTAACAGACAGATTCGAGCACGAGCTAGGTCTCCGCCTCATTAATCGCCTCGTGCGGGCTCTTACTGCGCGACTAGCATACCATGAAATCTCCAAGGCCCGCCAAGTGTATAGCCTAGACCTACCAAAACAGCACAGACTCAGCGTGCTGGACCGCGTGGTTGATTATCTTAGTGAGCATCATATCTTTCATACTGCTGGCAGTGATGAGCCCACTGAGTCCATTAGCCCAGCCTGTCTCATTGTTGAGTGGCTTCGGACGCTTTTCCTGCGTGAATGGGACGGCAATCCTGAGATGGCCCGTAGCAGCCCAGCCGGTGGTGCCATTCAGATTTTAGCCTCCATGTACAAAGAACGAAGCCGCTTAGGTCTTTTGCCCGAAGACTTTCACACACCCCTTCTCACCGAGCGGCTGGACCCATTGGATATGCCCGTGGCATGGGTTGAGGACCTCCCAAATAACCGAACCATGCATCTGCTATCATATTCTTTCCTTTTCCCCCCGTCTTCCCTCGTGGTCTACTTCCGTGCTTTGAACTATTCTGCCATGACCAAGTCCTATGAGGCTGCCATGACCACCACGAGACATGTCACTCAGACTGCCTTCGGGGCTATTCAAATTTCCGAGGATCCTCGACTCCTCACCCGCTTGAAGACATCCATGTCCACTTACCTTGTCCTCGTTGTCCGCCGAGACAATATCCTCTCTGATGCCTTGAGCCAACTATGGCGGCGTGAAAAGCGAGAACTGATGCGACCCTTGAAGGTGCAAATGGGCATGGATGAAGGAGAAGAAGGGCTTGACCATGGTGGTGTTCAACAAGAGTTTTTCCGCTTGCTAATGGGTCAAGCGTTTGACCCATCCTATGGCATGTTCACAATTGATACTCGACACCGCATGTCGTGGTTCCAACCGTGCTCATTGGAACCTCTCTACAAGTTCGAACTTATCGGTCTGTTGATGTCTATTGCAATTTACAACGGCCTGACTCTCCCCGTGAATCTTCCCACTGCGTTTTACCGCAAAATGCTGGGCCTGAAGGTGAAGCATCTGGACCATATTCGAGATGGATGGCCGGAGCTTAGCCAGGGGCTCGACACATTATTGGCATGGAAAGATGGCGATGTCGGCGATATTTTTACACGGACTTACGAGTTCAGCTTCGAAGCCTTTGGCAGTATAGAGACAATCGATATGCAAAAGGTTGACCGTGATGCGGCGTGGCCTCTTGCTAGCAAAGTCAAAATCACTGCTCCGGCTCCTATTGCGGGCTCCAGCGCCTGGATGGATGTGCCAGCTTACTGCGACCCTACGGTATTGAGATCACCAACCTCCATGCCCGTCGAGGAGGCTACCGATGTCACATCATGTGGGCCCGCCTCAGACACGACCGCCAAGTCAATGTCTGAGTCCATACCACTTCAGTCCCCTCTACCTCCAGCTGAAGAGGCCGCTCTTGTGACCAACAAAAATCGACACCAGTTTGTCAAGGATTACATCTTCTGGCTCACAGACAAATCCATTCGACCACAGTTTGAAGCCTTCCAGAGGGGGTTCAACACGTGCCTAGATCGATCAGCTCTGTCCATCTTCTCCCCGGAAGCGCTGAAAACCGTGGTGGAGGGTATTCAATCAATTGACGTAGAAGAGCTCGAGAACCATACCCGGTACGAGGGTGGATTTGGTCCTGATCATCGTGTCATTCGTGACTTCTGGGATATTATCCAACAATACCCCAATGAAAAGAGGGCCCAGTTACTCGAATTCGTCACTGCTAGTGACCGAGTACCCGTCAATGGGATATCAAGCATCATGTTTGTGATCCAGAAAAATGGTGTCGGAGATTTGGTAAGTTCTACCACTTTTTATAACCTACATAATATAGATTGTTCATACTAATTGTTCACCCAGCGTCTTCCTACCAGCCTAACGTGCTTCGGACGTTTACTTCTTCCAGAGTACTCGTCCAGGGAGGCCTTGGCGCAAAAGCTTGACAAGGCTCTCGAAAACGCCCAAGGATTCGGCGTTGCATAAAAGGCTGTCGGATTCCATTGTTTTTTTACCTATACATACCCATTTGTTCTATATTTCATTGATGTGGTGTTGTCATTCTATCCCATATGGCGCAAATAGCATGTTCTCATAAAGTACTTGACCTTCTAGACATCTAATCCCTCATTAAGATAGACAAATCAACAATTTATAGATCTCCATCGGACTCCAATGCAGATCTGTGGTTCGCTTGATGTGGCGTTCGACCAAATCGGACTTCTGAGGTCCGGGGAGGTTGATGACTCTTAATACTTTTAATATTCGCGTCCCTGAATCATCTATTCCTATTTCTCGTGTATATATAACTATATATATCTCTCTTAATTACATCAAAATTTCTTTGGGGGTCAAATATACTCTGTAAGGCACCACCCTTTGCCCCAAGCCTGTACAAGCCCTCCACCGCTATCACCCCCACCTCCCGCGATAAGCAACTTTCCAACGTCTTCAACATCTGCAACTCCTGCGAGTATCTAACGTGGAATCCACCAGCTTACTCCTGGTACTCTCTTGAACATCGAATATGGCCCCAATTATCCACTGCGTCCGCCACGCCCAAGTATGTACATTTCGTGACAACAATCGCAGTCCGACTCCCTGAGCTTCAACAATTCATTCGCAACCTTCTTCACTCTTCACTGCTCAGTCGAATTAATAGATAACCACAGGGCCTGCACAACGTTTGCACCGCCAACCACATTATCCAAGACCCCCTCCTCACTGACCTCGGCCACGAGCAATGCAAAACGCTCCGCGAGAACTTCCCCGCCATGCCAACATCGACCTGGTGACCGCCTCGCCCCTTCGTCGCACCCTCTATACTGCGCTCGAGAGTTTTGCCCCCGTCTTCGAGTCAAATCCAGACTTGAAGATTATTGCCCTGCCTGATATTCAGGAGACCTCAGACGTTCCATGTGATACTGGCAGTGAACCTTCTGTTCTGAAGGAGGAGTTCAAGACAGGAGTTGATCTGGATCTCGTGCAAGAGGGGTGGAATAACAAGGTATGTTTCTCTCTTTCCTGCGGTTTGGGGATTGCCTCCACAATATCCAGCACATGATATACTCACATTTATCTCTCACAAAGTTCTCCGGTCCTTACGCCCCAACCAACATAGCCCTCAAGCAACGCGCTCGTGCAGCCCGTCGCTGGCTGAAAGCCCGTCCGGAGAAGGAAATCGTTATGGTCACGCACGGAGGGTTCTTGCATTTTTTCACTGAAGACTGGGAAGAGAGCAGCCAGTACCAGGGTATGTGATATGATGCTACGATTGTAGGGGATCATACCGCTAACGCCGTTTTTCATTCTTGCAGGTACCGGCTGGTCCAACACCGAGTACCGTACTTTCTCTTTCAGCGAGGAAACACACACAGACGATTTGGAGGGATACCCACTGGATGGTGATAATGCCTCACTTGAGGAGACAATTGACTCACGGCAGCGCCGGGGTAAGACTGGACCTATGCCTAACCGGGAAGAACAGAGGATGCTGTATAAGAAGGGCACCCAGGGCTGGGATGACCAGGGATTGCAGATGAGCACTGCTGAACGGGAGGCGGCTAAGGTCACTGGAGGTGAGGAGGTTAATGGAGTCCGAGTATGAACTGGGCAGTGAACAAAAGCGTGATTTTGATGGACATTGCTATTGTACCTTTCGGTTGTCACAGATTGCGACGTGTTACAAAGATAGAACCAGTATATACATAGATCTGACATGAACCAAAAAGAAAAAGATTTCTTGGATTTAAGCAAGGCTTTTATTCCATTGTCTTTTGATTTCTTTTACCCCAGTACCCTTGGTACTAGAGCCCCTTTGGACTATTTTAGCCCTCGGTGGCTGTTTCAGCAAACAATAGAACAAAGCTGATGAGCATAGATATTGTATGAAGACCTTCATTGTCGAGTCCTTTACTCGTTCGAAATATTCTTTATCGTCGAGTGAACAATGACCTTCTTCGGTTTCGAAAACACAATAAAACAATCTACCATAGTCTCGACAAGCATGCCGACAAAGGACCTGTGGAGAAGAACTATGAGCTGGGCTACCCTTTGTCTTGGATATGATTGTCTATATAATGGCTTTCGGGCCCCTCGCTTTTAATCCCCATCATCAGGAGCATTCCAGCTCAAAGCAGCCCAACGCCTGTATTCCACCTACTTACTATACGGGCTACGAATCATTCGCTGAGTACCTTTCTATTCACTTGCAGGATAGACACTAACACCTTCTATCTAGGAACATTTACATAGCACGCTATCATATCTATCTATATATCACAGGTGGGTGGCCTCCTACTGGATGATTATTACTAACATATAACATAGCAGATTAGGGCACCGTGACATTCGGCGACGACGACGACGAGTATCGATACATCCATCATTTATTACCTGTCTACGGCTAAGTCCTTTGATAACCCTTTCTTCCGCCCCTTTGCCTCCCTTACTAACGATATCTAGAGATTACCGCACCATATATCGTCCCAAGCCTTTCGAGTATATCGTACTACATATCAAATTTCCATCCGGTAGGTCATTCCAAACATACAGAGACACACTAACAGATTGAATTAGGTCCCTTGAGAAAATACTCCCCAAATAGAGATTCAGATACCGATAACAAAATGACTAAGTCCTTTATTACCCTTCTTGGAAATGCGAATCCAGTACTAACGAAGCATAGGTCCGCCAATCTTCCCTACTTGGACATTATCACATACTTCTCCTACCAAGCAGCTAAGTCATTCTCTGCCTTCGTGTCACTAATCGGAATTTTATAGATGCATCTCGATAATAGGTCACAATATCAGCGATCAGCCGTATAGTGAGCTAGATTTACCATTTACCGTTTCCCTCCCCTGTGATTTGGATTCCATACTAACGCATCTATATAGGACTTGATTCTTGTGCAATAGAGTGCTTATATGAAATAGCTAGGTCATTCCCTTGAACCCCCATTATGACTAATTTGGATTTTACAGGTAGTCATATGTCAATATGTCAATAGACCATCAGGACTAGCTTGATTAATTGAACGGTTGATATCGCAGTTATTTACGGATTCCTTTCTAAGACTAGCTATGTTATACTTATCAAACAGCTAAGTTATTCCTTTTATAACCCCCTGTGACTAACTTGTGTCATATAACTAGACATCCAGAATGCTTCCTATGGCCAGCTCATTATCATGCAAGCTGACTGATTATGTTACTTTCTCTGTATACTTGTACTAATTCAACCATAGTGATTGTTTGTTGACCAATTATTATGGATTATCTCAACCGGGTTCAAGCCTAGTTACAGCTAAGTCCTTCTCTTCACCCTCAGTACTGACATGGAATTTAGAAACCACACCTCGATGGATAATAAGTGAAAAAGAGCACTGCCTAATAGATATACGACTAAGTACCCATACAAACCCTTCCTTCCTCTGAATTGAGACCCAGTACTAATCGAGTTGACAATATAGACATTCTCTTAACGAACGGGCTTAAAACCGCCACAACTAGACTAATGACAATATTGATTCACAATGAAATTGCAGTATTTGAGAAATATTTCAGGCAGAATGTTTATTGTGTGGATAGTATGTCGATTTAGTCTTTTGATTAGGATCGTACCTATATAGGTCAATATATAAACACATGCACATAGGCAGTTAGGTTTCAGATGTCATGCATAGAATTCCGATGCCTACATTTTCCTGTATAGCCTGATCTACAATAGTTAACTGTGTTATATAACTAGAGATAGCTTTCTAAAATACTTTAAATGCTGGTGCCTTCAATTGGCGTACGAATCAGCGGGGATCGGCCTTCTATTTTTAGGCGCCGATCACTAAGTCCCGTGGCGCAGACTTCACTCTGCGGGACTGGATATAACTCCTCCACATAACCTCAGTAGTCTGTTGCTGAATTTTACACACTCCAGATGACAAGATGATTGATGAAAATTTACCCAGTACGTTTGTAAGGATCAAGGAAGCCTCGTCTCTTAGCACAAGCTACGTCATCCCCTGGCTTCAAGATTCTCATACTGACCGCAGGACAGCATTCTTTCTCAAGAGCAACCCAAAACAGCCTCAGATCAGCACCATATACCATAGCCAACATGGAAACGACCCCGAACCTGCTTACTCCTTACGCGCGCTTGACCCCGCCTCCCCAACATCACAAAACCGCTACGGAGTCGCGTTGTACGACCCTTACGTGACAGACGTTGTCTACGGCGAGGTAGCCGTGGCTCCAGATTGGACACAACCGAGTATGTCGGCAGAGGCAATACGAGCAAATGGTGGCACTGTACCACCCCCAGAACCCATCCTCCCTACCGAGTTCAGCATCCAGCTCTACAACCCCGACCAAGAAATCACAGTGAAATATCATACCAAAACGTGGAACAAACCAGCCCGGTGGGAATTTGAGATGCCGCAAAACACATTTCGGGTTCCGTCAGCTTCAGCGCTAGACCAGACTCAGATCGATCCCTCTATTGCAGACGTGACTCCGAAGTTGAGGTTCAGTTGGCGCAAGGATGGAAAGCTATCAAAGGATTTGACATGTCTGTTGCATGGCAAAACTTCAACAATTCCAGACACGCGCACAAAGAGCCGCGAGCCAGATATTACCGTTGCTCTGTTTCAAGGACTGAAAGAGCTTACTCTTTATGAGCCCAATCTCTACCGACTCGAGATGGAAGATGCCAAGGGGTTGGAGGTTGTCCTGCTCTTGGCAGCCGTTGCGATTCGAGATATTTTCTTTGGGCCTGCCAAGGAGGCCTTTCACATTACCCCCGGTGGACCGAACCAAGCTCGCAAGCCAGTAGCAGGGTCAGCTGCAATCGCAGCGCCAACCACGCCAACTAGTGATCCCAGGCTCGATCGGAAGAACCCACAGGCACGACGACCTCTTAGCGTGGCAATGAGTGGAAAGCCATCACCGCCTCGTCTTAGTATCCCAAACTCCTCATCCCCGGCCCCACAAGAGAGGAGGCGACAGGACGAACTCGCAAGACAGGAAGAGGAGCGACGAAGCCAGGAGGTTCTCGCGGCAGAACAAAAAGCACGACGTCAGCGGGAGTCAGAAGTCGAGAAGGAGACAAAACGCCTGCAGAAGTTATACGGGAAAGAAGAAGAGCAAGCACGAAAACAACGACATACTCCAGCTCCATCTTCTCGGCCCTACCCACCACCCCGACATACCGGACCCCCTCAACCTTACTCCCACCAATACTCCCAATCCTCAGTCCAGCTATCTCAACCTATGGGTCGTCCATCCCATCATCCCCGCCAACAATATCCACACGGCGCACCGGTCCCAAATGGCCCATACCTCCATGCACCGGGGCGCATGGATCCCCGAGCTCAATCCTCCACCCATATCATTCAGTCCCGACCACAACAACTACGCCCGCAACCCCGACCACAGTCTACCGTTGAGTTCCACCCTACGAGCAGCGGTGCTCTCCCCGCGGCATCGAGACCGACACCTCAAGTCCAGCCGAAAAAGAGCGGTTTCTTTGGCTTCCGGCGCAATAAGGAGGAAAATACAGCTACCAAGCTTGAAAAAAGCGGAGTTCTATGTTTTGATCATCTATACCCTGGCGCTTTCGTCTATTCCCACATCATACTTCGCATTTCGTGGTTATATTTTGTCCGCATTATCATATCATTATACCTAGCTACCTAGGTGGTTACATAGCCATTACTTTTTCATTACAGTGCACTTAGATGACATCTAACTACTGTTCTACAAATTCAAGAAATAGTAAATTGGTGACAGCTGCCTTGTAATGTATTAGGTAGGGATTAGTTAGCACATTCTTTTATCGAAGCTTCGCGGTATGGTCTAGGAGGCCTAAGATACTACGCCCGCCGGAGGGAATTCCTATCTGATCTGATTGATAGTACGCTATTGAGGTACTAGGTAACTAGTGATTGCTACTAATAGGTACCTGCTATATCCTAAGATAGTAAGATAGTAAGAAATTGAGAGTTAAAAGTTGAGAGTTAGGAGTATAAAGAGCCCTATTTTAAAAAAATTAATATTGTATGCTCCTGTAATAGTGTCCAAGGCTTGCATCTGCTGGTACAAGTTCTCTCCCTCTTGAACGAGGTCATCCACTGCCTCTCTCAGATCCCGAGCCTTTACCTCAAGGTCCTCGTTCACTGCAGCGGTCAGGTCTGCGGTCTCGAGGCTTGCGACCTGGTGCTGAAGATCATTAGCCCTACGCCGACTCTGCTGCAGGTCGATCCCCACGAGCACCGACGTCCGACTAGGGTTTAACCCAAACTTCCAAATACGCGCCGAGGACGGCAGCGTTGAGAGGGAGGCACCGGCAGCTTTAGCGAGAATTCAAAAGCTCACAGAGCTTCGCGAAAAGCAACAGAAAGCATGGCGAACAGCAACCGAAACGCAAGTGTTTCACTACAACAAGCGCCATAAAGAAATGACGTTTAAGAAGAACGACCTAGTGGCCCTATCAACAAAAAACCTACGATTGAAAGAAGGCACTACAAAGAAGCTGTCACCTCGATGGATCGGACCTTTCAGAATCCTTGAATGTGTCGGAAAGCAGGCGTATCGCCTCCTACTCCCCAGCCAATACGCAGCGATCCACAACGTCTTTCCCATCTCCCTACTTCAGCCATGGCACCAACGAGAGGGCGAATCAGAACAATTGCCTTTGCCAGAACTAGCGGATGATGACGAATGGGAGGTCGAAGAGATCAAGGATCACCATCGATTTGAAGACGAACTACACTACCTAGTGAAGTGGTACGGCTGGCCATCAGAATACAATCAATGGGTGTCCGAAAATGCAATGGCGAATGCGCCGAAAATCATATTGAAATACCGAAAGACCCTAAGAAAGAAAACAACACATGTACGCCCCCAGGAACTGGCCCACGGTGTCAGTAACCTCAGAGTGTCCGAAGCAACTCCTCGAAGTTCTCGTGCAACACCCGGTTTTCCCCCTCCAGGGTCTCGACCCGCTGGTATAACGTCTCCCCATCTGCAGCGAGGTCCTTCGCAGCGTCGTCGAGATCCCGGACAATTTTCTGAAGGTCATCCCTCTCCTCCTTGAGGTCACCGAAGTCGACCCGCAGCCGGGTGTACCTCTCCGATAGCTCATTGCGGGCGACTCTGCTGCAGGTCGATCCCCGTGAGCACCGACGTCCGAACGAGCTCCGTGAGGTTCTCGTGCAACACCCGGTTTTCCTCCTCCAGGATGTCGATCCGCTGATATAACGTCTCCCCGTCTGCAGCGAGGTCCTTCGCAGCGTCGTCGAGATCCCGGACAATTACCTGAAGGTCATCCCTCTCCTCCTTGAGGTCACCGAAGTCGACCCGCAGCCGGGTGTACCTCTCCGATAGCTCATTGCGGGCCTCCCGCTGGCTGCGGATCTCCTCGATGGCCTCGTTCAACTCCTCCTCCTTGGCTTGAAGCTGACCAAGCATATGAGCATTGGCCGCTTGAAGCTCACCGACCGTCTTAGGATTGGCGGCCTGCAGCTCGCCCAGCTGCGCTTCCTGGGCGCCGAGTTCTTTCTTCAGGCGGCTTTCCTCCTTTGCCGCTCTCTCGGCCGCCTCACGCTGCTGGGTTCGCGCAGTCTCTGCCTATGCCTTGACTGTCTGTTGTGGGAAATGCAAAAAGGTTGGTATTCCCCATGGGCTAGCTAGTGGCAATATATAAAGGTTAGGGCTTCTGCGTTCCGGGGGGCATTTGGAATGACATTGGTGGAGCAAAGTGCGCTTGCATCGTGTTGTATACCGTGATTCCGTTGGCAGTTCTTATTTCATTGGGCCTCTTGGGCGAAGTGGAAGCGTTTGCATCCTTCGCCTGCGATCTGTCCATGGCCACTTCGTTGGCGTCTGAGTGCACTCTGAGACGTTGGTTTCCTCATATCGCCCAAGCTGGTGTAGGTGAAAGGGGTGCGTAGAAGGAAACTTGATTGGGGATGAAGAAGAAACAAATTGAAGGCAAGGGACGATGTGGGTAAGGATGAGTTTCTTAATGTGAGAGATGGAATGAGGCGGAAGTGACAGATGGAAGGGGTCGGAAGTGAGAGATGGAAGGAGTCGGAAGTGAGAGATAACTAAAGTAGGTGTTTTTGCGGTATGTTTGCTATGGATGCGTCTGGTTTCTGGGTCTGCTTCAGAAACTTTACAGCTTCCTCATGCTTAAGGTCAGCAAACAGCATCGTGCTTGTCACCGCATCCTTCACTTGCTGCTGGGCCAGCTCGTGAGTGATGGCGGGGTTCGCATTCATCTGCTGTTGGAGGCAGGCGTTCTGGTTGCTGAGCGCGGTGGCGGCGCCGTGGAGAGACCGAATCTGATCGTCCGTACGGCCCAGGTAGTCATTGCTGTAAAGTTTGAATCAACGAATAGTCCAGAGGTAATCACCGTTGAGGTCCGGCTCAAATAGCGATGTAAGATGAAGTGAGGGAAAGGTCAAAGCAAGCTCCAACATTCCCTTTTCCAGTCCCCATTCCTCCGCATCCTGGCCCATGTCTAACTCGTCCATCTGAGGACGGAGAGTCTGGAGCTCGATCCCATTAGCTCTAGACTCGTGGGATCGAGCCCTAGACTCTCCATCTCCCTCGTCACCCTCCCGTCCCCGCTCCGCCGCCGGCGACGCCTTTTTGAAACTTTTCTGATAGATTCTCCGAGGCCAAGAGTTCCACTGACGATGCCGCAAATGGCAACAACCCAGGATACTGAATTGGGAACTGGTGGTACCATTTTGTTTTTGTTTGAAAGAAAAGGAAAAGAAAAGGAAGAAAAGGAGGGAAAGAGGGAAGTGTCAACATAGGTTTGTAAGGAAAGTGCAACCTGCTCCCTGCTTTTCATGCCTTCCTTACCCCTAGGCCAGCTGGTCCTTAGGGTGAAGAGGTTTCTTTTCGGGAGGCATAGGCATCATGATGTTGACGGAGGGGGATGGAGAGTCTGAGTAGGTAGTGCCCCGGACACCTAATATACTTTTCCTGTGTGGCGTCTGGTGCGAACAAACCTGCCTTCCATGTATTGTTGACTGGGAAAGCACTTATGCCGTCCCTGCATGGAGCGCCTGCCGGTCCCTGTGTACCGGCGTTCGCGGCCGCTATGATGGCTGCGATTTGTTGTAACTGCTCGTCTGGGAATCCCGACCCCGCTGCCGAGGGTCTCCAAGCTTTCAGTGCTAGGCCATCAGCGGGTCGTCGGTCGTAGTGGTAGTAGAGCGGGCCCGTGGCATCAAGCTCAGGGAGGATGTGGATGAATGAGGGGGGAGTTGGAGAAGGGAAAGGTGGAAGGGGTTGGATGGGTCTTTATATACAACCATCGGATAGATGGATACGTATAGTATAGGATTTACTATATATATATACGGACCCTTAAAGATGTCTGAATACCTAGATTATAAGGTTAATAAAATTAATGCCTTCTGAAATGGGTATAGGGACTTCCAAAGTGAATTGGATCTGAATTGGACCTGAATTGAATCTGAACTGAATCTGAATTGAATCTAAAGTGAATCTAAAGTGAATCTAAAGTGAATTAAATCTAAATTAATCTAAAATGAATCTGAATTGAATCCGAAGAAAATTGGCAGATCTCTTGGCCGCTTGTTTAGGGGTGGGTGAATCTTTATAGGGTATGTAGACTATTGTAGATGAAAGGGACACCTTACAGACCATCTACTAGAAGATACAAGGCAATTTGGCTACACAGGTGTCAGAAAAGAGGACTACATGGTGCACGTCCAAGTGCATGATACAATATGAGATTGATAGATTGTTGAAGAAGTTAAGTTACAGAAGTTTAAGAAGGAGACTATGAAAGTGGATGATCATCCATGTATCTTGAAGCCATTGATCATAATGAAAAACACTACTTGGGATAATTACGACAGTTCCGACTCCAGCCCTTACTCGGCCATTCACGCTTCCCCAGGTTGCGGTTCAATGTAATCTCCAGTGGTCCCTCATCACTCACATCCCAACTCAACCATTGACAGGGGTCCAAATCCATGAATGAGGTGAAAGCATCCTTGCACTCGCAGAAAAATCGTTTAACCCACATTCCAGGATTTTCACGCACACATATATCACGTGTGTTCCAGAAGTTTTCTAGCTGCGAAGGGGTCGACTTTGTGAAATCGAAGAGCATCCGAGTGCGTATGCGTAAGCTCTGATCATGACAGCCGAACGAGAACGAGACGTTGATTTGAACCTATGCGATAGGATTGCGGTTGAAGGTATATGTGTGTAGTAACATGTCGTATTTGCAGTTGTGATTGGTCAAGTGCTGAACTTCACCTTTAGAGTCGAGGGGCTGACCATGGAATATTGAGATTAATCGTAGCTTGTGGTGTATATTGAGATTGTAGCAAGGACACATATTAACTTTACCAGCGTGCGGCAAATAGCACTTCCGGCTACCAAGCGTGTTGTAGCCATAAGAGCACACCTTATGGTCCAACTTCCAGAAAGGCTGCCAAACTGAGCGCGGATGGAGCATCTAGCATTGATTGCAAAATTTCCAACGGGGGTTTTGGAGTCGGCGAAGTAGGTGTATTCTGTGCTATGGGATGATTTTGACGCCCATAAACATCAGCTGAGGTGTCATAGGTATAGTAGTAGTCCCTCCAGATTTCTCAAGAAGGAAGAGGTAAAAGGCAAGCATGAATTTACAAGTTAGCGCAAAGCAAATTGCGTCTGAAACCAGAAGGGTCCTAAACACGAAGTATGCTATTTTGAGAGGCATCTTCTTAGGCCATAGGCGTTCCGGTGGAAAGATTCTTGGGGAATACTTCATTTTCAATATCTTCAGAGATGTAAGACCTTCAGAGATGTAAGACCTTGAGAGATGGAAGGGACGATAATTTCATAACTTCCTAACTGATGATTTAACTAATGATTCAACCCAATCCTGACGTCTGATCTTCGTCATCAACCAGATTTTGGACTTAGGCGGAGGGCTATTCCAAGGTCATATATTGGCATCTCTTCGCTGGAGATGTACAAATCAAAGTAAGAAGGATATGTAGGAAAGGATCTGCCATGGTTGAAAGACAGCCCCAAAGGTGTTGAGTAACTATAACCGAAAGCAATTCCTCCTTCACTCCGAGTATTCGAGTATCCGAGTATCCAGCAACATTCACCGATGATCAATGCACATATAATCAAAGGGTGACAGCACACGCACTCAGGATGCCGGCTTCCTTAGCCAAAGCAGCAATAACATGAGCAGGAACTCCTCTGTCAATGCCGAGGATCATCAGGGCTTCCTTCAATGGTTGACCCTTTGCAACTGGTTCTGGAGAGCCTTCGCCGACAGGAAGACACTTCTCTGAGATTTCATTAATAGCCAACTTGTTTGACACAGGAGCAACAGCCATGAAATTGATGTTGACACCCTCTTGACCAAGAATATTACCCACAACACCAATCTTCCCCGGTGAATCGTAGTTCTCACAAATCAACAAGGTCCCCTCTGGTTCAAAAGAGGCTTCAAATCGACCCAGGCGAGTGATCAGTGGCTGATCACCAGAGCAGGTGCCAGAAATAACTCGCTGGGGTTGATTTGGAATTGATCCAATAGAATTGTCGCCGGAAGCTGGGGCCCGGGATGAAGCCCGAGAGGGTGGACGTGCGACAAGAGTGACTAGCGACGAATAGGACGAGTGGTCGGACGGGTCGCGGGAGTGTTGCTCTGAGACAAAGATGCCACGTTCGTGAGCCACCAGCTCTGCGTTGACAATATTAATGTTGAGTTCCCCCGTGCTGCTAATGGGAGCAAGAAGTCCCTTGATCAAAGCGGCGAAGAGCGGCTTCGTGTTATTGATGATAGCCAACTCGCCCTGGTAGATCAGATCAAAGGTGTTTCTGCCCATTGCTCCGCCAGGAGAAGCTGCATAGTGCTGAGTATACAGACTGCCCAGCTTTTCAACTAGGCGTACAAATGGCTGTAACTTCTTGTATTCTTCGGGTAGAATGAGAGGAGCATTTACAGCGCTCCGCGGCAATGATCCCTGCAAGATTTCAAGCACCTGTTCGCACACATCGACTGACACGTTCTCTTGTGCCTCTACTGTGGAGGCACCAAGGTGCGGTGTAACGACTGCTCGTGGGTGGGCAATTAGTCGTGCTGCAGATGAATCAGGAGCAGGAGGCTCTGAAGTAAACACATCAATGGCAGCACCGGCAAGATGGCCTGACTCCAGTGCCGCGAGGAGTGCATCCTCATCAAATGTTCCTCCCCGTGCTACATTCAACACCCGGGCACCTGGCTTCAGCTGTGCCAGTTCGGCTTCCGCGATCATTCCCCGGGTTGAGGCAATGAGAGGTGTATGAATCGTTAGGAAGTCAGCGGATGCAAGCAGCTCCGGGAGCGAGGATACGAGGGTGACCGAAGCCGACGCCGCAACTGCCGGGGATGCGTATGGATCGAGGGCATTCACATTCATGCCCAAACCCTTGGCCAATCGTGCTACTATTAATCCCACTAGTATAGTTAGCGCATGGTCGAATCATGTTGGCAAACAAGTCAATTGGGGGAATAGCTTACCTTTTCCCAGACCAATAATTGATAATGTCTTCCCCTTGACTTCCACACCGACAAATTTACTTCGTTCCCATTTCCCATCTTTGAGACTAGCACAGCTCTCGGGAATTTTCCGCGCCATGGACATCATCAATGCTATTGTATGCTCAGCTGCTGCGCCGATATTCCCCGAAGGTGAGTTCACGACCACAATTCCAAGTTTCGTAGCTTCCGCGACATCTATACACCAGTCAATAACACACACACAGCGTACAACAAGATTCAAACATACCAACGTTGTCAACTCCAACACCAGCACGTGCTACAACCTTTAGGTTCTTTGCAGCTCGAAGCACGGAGGCAGTGACCTTGGTCTCTGAGCGAACGAGAAGTGCATCATAATCGGGGATTATCTGGAGTAACTCATCGGCACCGAGACCTTTTCGCTCATGGACATCCAGCGAGCTGCGCAGAAGAGCCAGTCCATCTGACGACAACTTTTCTGGCACAAGGACCTTGGGACGGGAAGTTGTTAAAAGAGGCATGATTTCAATTGATTCAATTGTTACAATTGAGGGGGAAGATGAAGACATGTCCAGTTTTTAAGCCACTGTATTACTCCCCGCGGCAGGCGCGCCCTCAGAGTTCTCCCCCTTCGACCAATCATCCTCTATACGACCTTGGGAAATATGTGCATGTACAACTGGAACAGAACGCGGGGTACAACCACCATGATTGGAGAGAAGCCTTTCTACAAGGTACCCCCAGGACCCCCCCCAGGAGTCAGGACTAGAGACTGTCGATCCGAGTAGGCCAAGTCAACCGGGAACCCCATTAGACTTCATGTGCCTTTTATTATTGGGAGACTACTGGCAGGTGAAGGGTCACTGACAATGAATCTAGAGTACAATGTTTTATACTCTTAAGTATACCGACACATAACTCTCTCATTGGTTCATATTGGCAGTAATTTAGATCCACTCTCACTTCACAAGTACCATGTTGAATTGAATTAGTAGATCCCCCGCTAGTTTAAGGGTAGGTGAATCTTTATAGAGTAGACTGTTGTAGGTAATAACGTATTTCACATGCGAGTGGTCCACACAAGCGAGTGGTTCACGCCAGAACACATAGTAAAAACGATCACTAATGTATTTAGTTGATTTCTTTACTTTTTTAGTATCATACATCAATTTTAGATGAATCAAGACTTTGGGTTTCCTATGGTTTCAAAAATACAAATAAATCCTGCAAATATATATCTTAATCACTACATAACTATGTGTAGACCACTCGCTTGTGTGGACCACTCGTATGTGAAATACGTCTAGTTAGGTATCGGAATTTAGTTATAAGTAGGGGCAGAATGTTGGGAACATTTCAACTAGATCTTTAATTCATTAATTCATCTCATTCAAATCTTATAAATAACTCTCTTCTATCCTTTTAACTATGAGATCTGAAACGGGTTGTTCCCCGCCAATTTGGACATTTTGCTTGGCACGCCATATCAAACAAACCTCCTAGGGCTGACCAACGTCTCTCAATTCTCCCCTTCAATCAACATTCTACTCAACTTGACTCGGCCCAACTCGGCTCAATTCAGCTTCATGAAACCTGAAGCCGGAAAATGGGAACATAAACCACATTTAACCTTTCATCTGCCCCGTGATGACATCTTATCGGTCTTGACACACCATGGTGGGAGTTCCGCATAGTACAGGCTGTGCCCTGTGTCGCGAGCGACGGATCAAGGTAAATATGTACCCAAGTATAACATCGAGTTACCGGGCTAATAAAGTCCATAGTGCGACGAGGCAGTCCCCGAGTGCAGCCAGTGTCAGAAATATGGTCGCACCTGTCCGGGCTACAGACGAACCTTCCGCTTCCAAGACGAAGGTCCCAACCTCGCGCGGCGACATCGCTCCAACAACCGACGGAAGGGGAGAGGCGCATCGGCTCGCCCAACCGCGTCCGCTACATCGTCAACCCGAACTGACCGATCCCCCCCGCACGCGATGACTCCGCTACCGCTGCAGACGTGGTGCGCGGCAACGCCATTGCCCTCATACAACGACACTCCTCCTTGGGTGGCTGGGATGAAAAAGTGTCGCCGTCGCTGGTACGCAAGTCGTTTCGTGCTGCACAGCCACAATTATTCCTGGATTTCATCGGCACGTCGTTTCCGACACTCTATTATCATAATCGGTTCCGGTCTGGCGATGCGCCCGGGTTCGCCGAATATATCGTTATGAATTTCGGCAGCGATACTTACCTCGACTACGCGGTTTGCTGCTTGAGCTCGGTCTATCTAGCACACTTGACTCAAGATAAAGCTCTCCTCCAAGCAAGTCGACAAATGTACTCGAAGTCGCTCCGTGAGGTTATTCGGGCCATCCCGAAAGCCAACCATGCCAAATCTGACAATATGCTATGCACATCCCTCATCCTCAGTGTCTTCGAAATGTACGCGCAGACCACGCCCGACGCCTGGGTCGTCCACTCTGATGGCGTCAAGCGACTGATGATAAGCCGAGGCCCAGAAGCGCACAGAACCGGGTTCGGCAGATGGTGCTGGATTGCATTCCGTGGCTTCCTCGTCGCTACGGCAGTTTATGAGGGCAAACCCTGCTTTCTAGACCAAGCAGAATGGCAATCCTACGCGGCGAAAGTCAGGACGGAGGACTGCCAGAAGTCCGGCGAGTGGTCTGCATACGGCGAAATATCCGACCTGGCTTTCGTGGAAATCGCCAAATGCCCGCGGTATATCAGCGAGACCCGGGATCTGATTTCAATGCCGACCGAGCCAGACTCAACTTTAATCACAAATCTCACCGGCCGCATACATGACACTTCCCGTCGGCTGTGCTCGCTCGCCGCGGAGCTCCGGTGCTGTATCAGCGCGCACAGTCAGCGCGAGCAAGGTATCGTTCAGCGGCCCGGATCCTTCATAGGCCCCGTACCAGAGATTTTCCCAGACACGGGCCCATCGCTGCTCCTCAATGGAGCAGAAAATATGCTAGAGACGCTCCAGCAGCTCTCCAACCGTCTTGAAGACCGATTACGCTTCACTCTCGTCGATTCGCCAGACTCGACTGTCGTCACGCCACCAAGCAGTGGTAGTGAATATTCCATACCCTCTTATTCTGGGACGTCGAAGAGCTTCACCCTCCCCTTTCGCATCCACTCGGAGCTTGGACAGGGTCCGTCTAGGACATCTGATCCACATGATCCCCGTGCTGTGATCTGGTTGGATCGCATCGCGTCGTCGATGGGTGTCCTCGGCGCCAAGGTCCTCCCAGGTGATTCCTCGAGTGCTTCAGTACAGATGGACAGTTCATCACCTCAAGTATTGGAATTGCCGTAGTCAACGAGGATTCTTGTATTCACATGAAATGTGATGAAAATATATATAACTGCTCCTAGCTGGTCTAGGATGAACCTCCCCCTACCACACAACACTACACACAACACTACCATCTACTTCTCTCCCCAATATGAATATAGGAACAACTCAGATATCCAATTTCGATGCATATTTTCGGCGTATATGAGTATGGAGTTATCAGATGCCATCACACTTTAAAAAAAACCACTGCAATAAATGATATCACAATCCTAATAATCCAAAGACTCCTCAAGCAAATTCCTCAACTCACCCCTCTCAGCCTCCAACTCCTTACTCAAATTCGGCGCGAGCATAAGCACCCGCTGCTGCGGGATAGTCCCCTCAACCAACCCCTCCAAATCCGCCGCCTTGAATCCTAGATCCTTCAACCCACGCGGTTGATCACCAAGCGTAACAAGGAACTCTGCAATCGCATTCCCAAGCACCTCACCCGCACTCTCACGCTTAACATTCGAGATATCGACACCGAATGCCTCAGCCGCAGCAAGATGGCGATCAGGGTTCGACGCCGCGGTAAAGCGGAAGACAGCAGGCGCGGTGACAGCCACGGAAACACCGTGAGGGATAATGGGATGATCGACCTCATAGCCCGCATGCTTATAGCCGGGGTTCTGACTAGAGATGGGGTAACTCATACCGTGGCAGAGATGAACTCCTGCATTTCCGAAGCCGACGCCCGCAAGCGTGGCCGCGAGCAACATCTCCGACTGTGCTTCGTGGTCGTTTGGATCGCGGACTGCGCGCGGCAGGTACTTGACCGTTGAGCGTAGGGCGGCGAGGGAGAATATATCGGAGATGGGGTTTGCGCCTTGGTAGGCGGGTCGGTTGATGGGGTTTGTTGGACGTGGGGTGCGCTCGTTGTATGGGATTGCGGTCCAGGATTCGAGGGAGTGGCAGAGGACGTCGAGGCCCGAGGCGGCGTGTACGGCTGAGGGCATGGTGCGGGTGTTGAGTGGGTCGCAGATTCCAAGGGTTGGTTTTAGGTTCCGGTGGGCGATTCCGGTTTTGGCTTTCTTGGAGACTAGGTCGAAGATTGCTGTGCCTGTTGTCTCGGAGCCTGTGCCTGCTGTTGTTGGGACGGCGACGAGTGGCAGGAGGGGTCTGTTTACTGGGCGACCTTTGCCTAAGGGTGCGTTGACGAAGTCAAGGAAATCGGCTTCGGGGAAGACGGTGTATAGGTTCATTAGTTTGGCTGTGTCGATTACGGAGCCGCCGCCTGGTTTGGTGTTAGTTTGTGTATAACAAGCGGTCGGAATAAGGGAGATGTACCGACGGCTAGGAAGGCATCGGGCTTATAGGGCTTAGCGAAAGCGATAGCCTCCTTTATACTTCATTCGAAGGCATGTTAGTACCTATACAACAGCCACATTTGAAGCTTGGGGTTGACTTACGAGCTATCCTTGGGCTCGGTGCGAACTTTGTCAAAGATAGTAAACTCAATGCCCTCACGGGTAAGACCCTCAACAGCCTGTTTCATAGCATCAAGCTTGGCCACATTGGAATCGGTGACAATGCACACGCGCTTCGCGCCGAGGTTGGTAAAGTCCATTCCGACCTCCTTGGTCGAGCCGGGTCCGAAGCGAATGCTGGAGGCCGCCATTTCGAAGGCGTACTCCTTCTCGCGCGAGCGGTCCACGGGTGTGGACATGCGGCGCTTCACATGGTTAAGCAGAGAGGGGGTCTGCTGGTGGTTGTGGTGGTGGTTGGGGTTCTTGTGGCATGGGCAGTTGGGTGGGTGGGTGTATTGTACTGTGCGTAACAAGTTCAGGGCACGATTGGCCGCCGAGGGGGCGACTCGGATTGCTGGAGAAACCATTGTTCTGTGTGTTCTTTAAAATTTGTCAGAATGAGAAGAGAAGGAGGGTGAAGTTGAAGTTGAAGTAGAAAAAGGTCAAGAGACTCGACAGATGAAATGTGGGACAAATTGGGGAAATGCGGGGAAATGCCCCCCGGACTTCTGGCCGAGGTCCCTATTTTCTGGTTGATGATCTCTTACTCTCAACTTACTCTCCCTTATTAATATATATATTTGGGGAAATCATCCACATCTATCCAATATATCCTCTTATGTTTCTCCAAAATGGAGAAACTGGGACCCAGTTACTCTCTATTCCCTGGTCGAAACCCGCCGATCATGACATACATCTACAACTACTATATATATCCTCCGTGATATGCAATATGAATGATTAATGAAACACAAAAAGTCGAATAATTCAATTGAGCAACACTATCGTATCCACCTTGCGCATAACCAAAAACAATAACAATCTCCAAACATGTTTTCTATTCCCTAATCCAATATCATTCCCAAACTAAACCCCCAACCTCTCAACAAAGCGACAGGACCAAATCCGTCGAAGGATCAACAGCCCTAACCTGACTTCCAGCAGGCGGAACCCCATCCTTCCAAGAAATCAACGGCTCAGAGGGTGAAAGATTCACCGGGTAACCCTCAAATGGATCCCCAAAGACATCGGAGAGATCATACCACAGCTTAACCTGTCTCCGGCCCCGTTCCTTTGTGGAGGAAAGGTTGTACGCAAAGATCATCTGCGGGGAACTAGTGTATAGCCCGTCGCGGTCGGTGCTGATCTTGATTGCGATGCCGCCGGTGTCTGGGTTCTCACGGAAGACCTCGCTGTACTCGTCATCTGGCCGTAGTGTTTTCTCGGGTAGAACCGTGGATGCCACGGACCAGAGGTAGACTGGGAAGTCGCAGTTGTTTTGCACTATCGCATGACCTAGGTATCGGTCTGTGGGTGGTGGCATGTTCATTGGTTTGAATGGGACGCTGCTTGAGGAGGGGAAGGCACTGGAAGAGACGTCTCTTGGGCGCTGGTGGTTGTTTTGGATTGGTGGGGTTGAAAGAGCGATGGTAGTGAGTGAGAGAAGAGGGATGATAGTAGAGAGATACATTTTGCTCGGTTGATCTTGCTTGGTTGATTGTAAATCTGTCTGTAGTTGTGTCTTGCGTTAGAATCAGGAATTGGAACTGCTTTATATAGGCGTTTCTGTTCCTGTATATGATATCATTCCATTTGTTGCTGTGTTGCGCTACGAGTCTAGACCGTCGGATCTAATTCCTTACGGCAAGACGTTTCTAGGCTGTTGCTGTGAACCTTGGCTTAGGGGTAATTAGAGGCCAATGTTATGTTGTGCAATGTAGATGTGGTGCAAAATGAAGGGGTGTGAAACTATCACAATGTAGTAGTCAAGCAAGACCCCGTCTAATTGTCCAACAGAAACATATGAAGAATGTCACCATTTCCCTATCCAGTGCCCATATTCACTTTGTATCCCCAGAAAAGGACTGCATGATTTCCAGGATTCTCAGTTGCAGCGAGGAATGTGTGGTCCTTTAATTTTATATCGTACATATGTCGAGGATAGGATGGGAAGAACCAAACCGATATTTCGCTTGTGTCGGATCGAAGACATTGAAGAATGTGATTAGCCCGCTACCCTCAGGTATAATATTTCAATAACATGAACCAAGTCCTATGCACATACAAAATAGTTATTGACCAGACTAAGCTGAAGGACTATACTTCTTCAACAACCTTAATAGTCAGTTACACCCGTTGACGGCATGACACACCCTGGATACACAGGTGGATACTACCATCTGAAACTCAGAACTTGATCAAATGTAAAAGCCCGTGGCTAGGGCAACTGTGGCGTTCTAGACATTCATTCTTTTTTGAAGAATGTGACCTTTTCATGGCGGAGACCATACGGAGAATTCTTTTGGGTTTGAAACCGCCGAGGAATGTCAGATAGAGAACTTCAGTAGTCGATAATAGAGGTATACCTCACCTGGCAGAAGGCCCTACTCTGCTACGGAAAACGAATTTCAGGAACAGAACAAACTCAGGGTAGTTCATGTGGCACGTCGAAATGGTCGGCCGCTCATTTGAGACTTCCCCGGCATGTCCGGCGTCTATCGGAGAACATCGTAAAACAGACCTAACGGTTCTGTGTGGCATACTAAAAGTTTGAGAGATGTAACACCATGCTGGCCTAGGAATATCACTATCTTGGTGTTTCAGCAGCCCGACGGTTTAGCTAGAAAGTTTTTTAAGGATTGACATAACTGAATGAGATCTAGATCTAATTATGTATCATCATTCCACCTAGATGTAGGACAGGTTTCCAGCTCTTCAAAATTCGGCTTCATATGCACACCTTTCAGACTCAATCCTCTTTTTAATCCTCTTTTTAATCCTCTTTTTAGTCCTCTTTTTAGTCCTCTTTTTAATCCTCTTCTTTACATCTTTTTAAAACCCGACTTTTTATACCTTTGTATCAATTAATCCAGTAGCGAATTTCGTATATATAGTCGTCTAGCCAAGTGTTTAGTAGAAGTTTAGTGGTAATAATAATATAGCCCCCAGCCGTTTAGGCATGTCTAAGTCTAATGTCATTGGCCGCGCTAGAGGCGCGGCTTCTCGACTTGTAATTGTATATGTAGAAGATGTCAAGTATGTACAGGAAGAAAGTAATGATGTAATATGTGTGACTAAACCACTCCCCCCACCTCCCAGAGAAATCCCGAACAGAAAGGCCTGCTTAGAATGAGACAACCTCCGAAGTGCCGAGAACGGTGGTACCCTTGCGAGCGACAACCTGAATGAAGTTGGTAGGAGGATCGACAAGTGTAGCAGAAGTCTCAAAGCCACTGCGCTTAGCTGTGGCGATCTGAGTGGTGTTGGCAGAAGTGGCAGAAGAAGCCGCGTAGACGACCCAGTTGTCATATTCGGTAGCGCCATTCCAGCTCATATAAACGGTGACACCGGAGTCGGTCTTGCTGACCGACGCGGAGGGTTTCCAGAAGGGAGTAGCAGTCCACTGGTAGCGGTAGCCACGGTAAGATGCAACAGCATTGTCCTCACCGAACTGAGCGCTAAAGACGACGTTATCGTCACCGTCAAACTCCTTGACTTTGGGAATGGAGCCGTAGGCCAAGAAGACATGGCTGTCCACCTCACTGAGGAGCTGGTAGCTGCCCTGGCTGACGGAGTGGATCGGGTCGTTGGGGTCAGTCAGAGAGCGGAGACCGGTAACTGTCTTCTTGTCCAGATCAATGGCCAGACTGAGGCCATTGGTCTCCGACTCTTCGTTGGTCGGGGTGTTGGCGTTATTAAACATGTTCAGGATAAGCCCATTGTCGGTCTCGTTGTAGACGCGCATGTCATGTTGCCACGAGAATTCGGCATTGCCAATCTGCTTGAAGTCGGCGCCATCTTCGCCGCTAACCTGCCACATCACGCTGCCGTTTTGGGACAGATAGTAACCTGACCACATGTGGCGCAGCGATACAAAATATCCATTGTTGGTGGTGGCGACGGAGTTGATGTGGTAGGCATCATAGGGGGCATCCTGGGTACCCACATCCCCTCCGAGGCCCTGGTAGGAAGTGGTCAGGGGGATGTCAGCTTCATGGTCAAGTGCACTCCATGAGTGCAGCACCTGGTTGGTAGGAATGTCGATCTCGTAGAATTGGCTGTCCAGCATCCACTCGGAGGAGGTACCGTCGATAGAAGTCAGATCATGCTGAGTGACATTGTAGGCGGTGCAAATGAGAGTGTTGCGGGGAGTAATGTGGCTCTCGTGCATGTCACAGTATGAGTCCTTGCTCGATCCGTCCGGGGTGACGAAGTCGCCGGTCAGTTGGACAGTGTAGATCTCCTTATAGGTATCATCAAGGATGTGCACCGTTCCATAGCCGTAGCCGATGGACATCATGTCTCCGGCCCAGAAGGTGATAACATCCTTGCCGAAGAGCTTTTGCACCATGAAATTGGCAGTCACCTCTTCCGGGCCTTCGTACACTAGGTCACCCGTGTCATCGTAAATGAGCGCAGCGCAGCCAGCGTCCTGAACGTCTCCACGGGGACCCATGAAGATGTAGCCGGGATCGGTAGTTCCGGTCTTGTTGACCTCGAGCTTAGGCGGCTTGAATGTCATCGAGCTGTAGGTTGAATATTCCCAGGCAACCACCTGAAGAGACAGGGCCAGGACGCTTCCTGCCGTGTACCACCACGAAGCCATATCGATCAAAGACCCAGAAAAGAACGACTAAAAAGGAGTATACAATATACTACAATTAAGGAACGTTGAAATAAACGAATGACTGTAGTAGGGTCGATAGGGGGTGATTTAAGATCTCGACATGACAGGCCTTTTCAATTAAAAGAACAGGTCTTCAGGAAATCTTAGCCCTGAAGATCATTATCCTTCTACCGAACCGAGTGGGTTGCGATGAAGCCATTTGTCCAACCAGGTCGGCCAACGACATCCACCTTTTTCCAAACTGTGGGACTATGAATAAATATCGTTGCCCATCGTCATTTCCCCACATATCGAACGTTACAATCCCACTTATAAACCACGGTATATGCGATTCATTGCTAGAGGTATGTTCCGGGGTGATTGACGGTGTGGGAACCAACAAGACAGTATATATCGTAGTGAGAACCTCACGGACCCAGAAGGACAGTTTGCCCGACCACAGTAAAATTGGTTGATTTGAGCGATCTGCATGACGATCAATTGTGGTTTCCTTGTGTGAGTTTTGGGTGGAAAATTGTCGGCAACTGTGGCGGCAACGTGGGATTGCCGTCTTTTCTGATGTCTACGGGCGACTCTCATTGGGCTAGTGCCTTACACCTTCTCTTTTACATACACTGACATCTTACTAGATCTTCTTTTTTATATCTTTTTCTTAGGCTCTTTCTAGTTGTCTTTCTAGTTGTCTTTCTAGTTGTCTTTCTAGATGTCTTTCTAGATGTATTTTCTAAGGCATTATAAGGCATCATCTGGGTTCAATATTACTACTACATAGTTATATAACTACATAACTAATTCCAATGTGTAGGTCTAAGTTACTGTCAGGCAATATAAACCAATGAGAGAGTTATGTAACGGTAATCCCTATAGTTAGTCGCCCGTAGACGTGTGGGTTCATACTGGAAGGTATAGGCCGTTTCTAAGGTGCAGCTGTGCTAGGCACTTCATTCGGATTCAAGAACCTCTTGAGCAGATGGTTGATTCTCCGGCTTGAAGGGAAAAGCATCGAGCGAAGCATCGAGAAAAGAACATCTCCTTCGTTTGGTTCAAATTCGTCCGCAAAAAGGCTGTCAAATGGCCGAGCTTTGCGTAATGATCTCCGTGGATCCAAGTGTCCTGTTATCAGATGAAAATTCGAGGGATTTAGTTGGCTAAAGTCGAGCCTCCGTGGGTTCAGATCAGAAGTGGCGTATGTGGCTCGAATGTCTTTTCTTGCACAGTTTATGCTTTTTTAGCGCTTCGTATATTGTAGAGTGATATTCTCTAGTTAATTCCTATACCACGGCGAAGAAGAGAACCAAGAAAGACATTGCATTATCTTATAACATTTCGTATATTATCTCGAGTCAGATAAATCGGATTCCATGGTTATTAAAGTTCTACGCTAAGGACCCCTGAGGGGTATGTGCGTCTGAGTGCGCTCGTATATTATCCACCGTATATTATCCACCGGGAATGGAGTCGCGTAATTGCAGGATTAGTGGGGGATTAGGCTAAAACATTAAAATAAGTATTTCAGGCGAAAGTGGTTGAGGCTACGAACTGTTTAATTTTAGATATTCTTATTCTTGACATTGGCTATAGTTATACGAATCATGGTATACGGAGTAACTACTGGATGGCATACTCAGGGGGTAAATGGGTAGGGTAAATGGACCATTGACTACTCCGTAATAAGTAATAAACCGTCACCTACCTAGGTAACTACCCGGTGGGCCTGATAAGATTACAATTTCAAGAATTAAGTATACTTTGTATTGCGGCTCCATACAAAAGGTACCTAAATATAATAGAAAAATAATATCAATCTTCTCAACTGTTAATATGAGTTCTAATCTTATAACTATTATCAATCTTAGTAGGAGATCCTAAGTATGTAAAACAAGAATTTTACCTCTATATCACATAGTCAGAATAACTTTTCTAGTTATTCTGACTAAAATAGACTCACGTTATAACTTAACGTCCTTATTTCTCCTCTGGCTGGTTTTAGGGTTGAATTGTGCTCATATTGTATTGAAGTGTCTTTTGTATGGCAGCTCCATAGAAAAGATACTTGATTATTGAAATTGTTGGGCTTGACTTGGCACGGTTAGCTCACAAACTTAGCGGCACTGGAGGACCTTGGGAATTGCATGTGCCGGGGTAATTCTACCTAGGCATTCCAAGGTTGTATAGCAATTAATAACATGAACATATGGACCGAGCAATGATATTCTATTATTTTATTTTTTGAGAGTGTAGATGTCATTCCATTGACTAACCTTGGAAACCTTGGGTCAAAAGACCCTACATCACCAAGTGACCAGTTACGAGACCTTAGAAACGGAGAAATAGCGGGATACCAAGGGTCTGTCCATTGGTTTGTTTTTTGGATCCTTTGAATCCTTTAAATCCTTTTGTATTCTTTGTATTCTTTGTGTTCTTTGTGTTCTTTATGTTCTCGATATTCTTTGTTGAGCTCCTAAAACATATGATCTGTGAATAGTAAAACTACACTTTCCATTTATCTTGTTATTTTGTCCTTGATTGGCTTCAAACCCAAAGACCAAGGGGAAATTAAATAACAATCAACCTCGTGCAGTAGCTCGAATCCCCATGAATCCCCCCATAAACGCCACCTCCGTTTCTCCACACATACGACTCATCGCGGGGACCAAACTCTCCCGGGTGTCTCCGGGGATTTTCCGGGGGTTTTCCAAGTCAATGCGAGAGGAGCTGGAACAAAATGGAATACAACATAGACCTGAAATTGGGATGTGTTTTTTCTCCATCCAAAGGTGTTATGTATTGAGCGTTGGACTTCTCGGGTCTCTTCTTCCCCAACCCCTGTAGACCCTAACGACAATCGACCATCCAGCGGCCATCTGGTGGCGCCGCAAATTACCAAATTACTTTTTGTGGGTTGAATTAACCAAATAAGACAAGGAATCAATTGCGCCAATGGCCGTGCTTATGAAATTTACCAATTAATAAAACATAACTCTCCCTTCCATCTTCATTTTGAATCCTAATGATGTTGCACCTATGTGCGAGATAGAGACGGCTCTTTTTGTGACTTGACTTCATCAAGTTTGCCCTTCATTTATTTCCTCCACTCTCTATCGGAAATTCTTCCACCTATTTCACCTCTTCGACCTCGTCTGCCTGATCCTTGTTGACTCTCCACGACAACTCTCCAGCAACCACTCAGGGCTGACATGAACACCGCCCACCATGACTACCGATCACGTCTCGAAGCCTACCGAGGCTGATGCCTTGATCCTCGAAGCTTGGGGTCAGGGTCTGATGGTTGGAAGTCTACTCATTATGGCTGCTATTACGCTTTCCAATATGAAGTCACATATTCTCTTGCATAAGCTGATCTTCGCGGAGGTAAGGAACCCCAAAATGATTAACCTGGTCATTGATACGCTGAACCAAATCTCAGCTAATATCTGCCTCGACTATAGCTCATTCTGGCCATGGCCCATGGTACTTTCATCTTCCCCCACGAGCCAGTCTACGGCTGGTATTTATCCGTGACTGCGATCGGCCTCAACATCTCCTGGGCCCTGCATAACGTCATTGCCTGGATGAAGAATCGCCCATTCCTATCGCGAAAGGTCTCGATCATCTACATTACCACGGTTATTCTCTGCTGGCCCTATTGGGGTCTGGAGATCTATGCGAACTTCACATACTTCAACAATATCAATAAGATCTTCCTGACAACTCGGCCAATGGAGCCATTATTCCGGTTCGTCATTCCCTTCCCGTCCAGATATCGGGTGCGACTCCTTTCAATTCGAAGTCACTTTTGACCTAACATATATACTTCTATTAACAGCGACCCGTGGTGGATCTTCACAACAGCCAGTCTATTCTGGACGATCAAGCGCGAATACAACTTTGGATTATGGGAACTAGTAGTAGTCAGCCCACGTTTCGGAATCATGTTAGCGGCAATGTGTCTATCGATTATTTTCATGGTGGTCGATACCTGCAGCGTGCTGAATGCCTTTCCCAGCACGCTCCCAACCGGCGTCGAGCCGTTCTGGAAAGTAAGTTCCCATCCTGCTCAGACAGTTTCCCAATTTCCCACAACACACCCTAACCATCTCTCAGTTATCCTTTATCTTCAAATGTCTCTGCGACACGGTCATTCTCGACGACTTTAAGACTGCCCTCGATCATTTACGCGTACATTGGATGCGCAAGAAGAACGGACAGTTGTTCGTCACCCCGCTCACAAATCAGAACTCCACCCCCAGCCCTCGTGCATACAGGACACGTGGGGATATTGAGACGGCTGATTTTTCTATTACACCTACTACCCCTTCGAAGGGATCTTACCCCCATGCGGTGCATATGGACGACGTTTGAATGCTTAATGAAATACCGGAGGGGCGCGTGACTACCTGGATTGCAACTTGTTTTTTTCTTTCTTTTAGCAATGGCCTTCGGACCTTTGAGTCTGGTTTCTTGATCTTGGCGCTTCTGGTGAGGTTATGGCGTATCCGGACGGACTGAAATTATGGCGATTGTACATACCCTGGTTTTCTTGAGGATACCAATTTGAAGCATAGCATTTAAAGACAGAAAAGGAAAAAGGAAAAGGAAAGCTTCCCCTAGGTTAGGTAGTTGAGGGAACATACAGATCTCTGTTCTTTTCTACATATTTGTAGATGAGCTGCTGCCTTGGGTAAGGAGATCTGCATTGCACTAGCCCCTACGGGCGTTTTCGATGAATCTGAATTGAATCCGAAGTGAATCTGAAGTGAATCTGAATTGAATCTCAATTGAATTATATTGTAGAGGACTGTTGTATACAAATTGAAATTAGCGGTCATAACCAATGACAGAGTTATGTGCCGGTGGCATGGCAAAAGAGCCCGCCGCTTCCACGATCATTACACTAGAGTCTAGACAGCTACGAACCCCAGGCAGGCAGCAGGCAGCGTACCGATCAACAGATGGATTTCGTACGCACGTGATAACAAAATCTACTTCGAAGGAAAGATGCATAGCTATCACCCAGTTATCATCCTTACCGAGAAAGGAGGCATGATCGGCACGCTGCAAGAAGAAACCTACTTCCATCCAAAGATTTGCGAAACTGCGAAGGCCCCTAAGCCCCCAGAGAATTCATTCGGAGAATTAGCATATCTTCATGCAGTGTCACATCTATGAAGTTCTTTTTTTCTAGTCTGACTACCACTGATGAACGGTACTTAGGTGTGACATATTCCATTTATCCGAGTCTGTCTCGTTGATATGCATATCATCTGCACAAAGGTTAGCGTAGCTATGGGCTGTCTAGTCCTTCCTCGGCAGGAGAATGTGGTCACATTTTGAGCCAATAAATACATCTCATTTGCCGCTCATGGGCTAGGTGCTACTGGACTTCCAGAAGTTAGCGTCACTGTCTACACTTCCTCTGGTTGGTACTGGAACCCAAATGCCCGAGGTTCACTAGACTATATTAAGAATAACCCCGGAATATCAACATTCCTGTATCCTCAAATTACCTAATTTATTACACCGCTCATGTCTTGTATTTATACTGAACTAGAAAAAGATATAAGAAGTAAAAGATGATCTTCAAAAAATATGCGGTATCTAGAAAGTCGAGAGGTATCAAAAGTGAACAATAGCACTCGTCCCGAAGAACGACCGAGAGATACAGTCGATGATGACACCGCAAAAGTACGTGGCCGGTACTCCGGTACAATTCCTGGGCTTCGTAGACTAGTAGATACCGGGGATGATGCGGCTGCGAACAATCGACGTATAGCGCTTCCAGTCGGCGCCATATTTCCTTTTGCACTTTTCTTCGTCACGCCCCTCCCGGTGGATGAGCAGGATACCAAAATAAAGCATAAAGAAGTAAGTGAAAACGATTCCCCAGCCACGGACTTCAGGGGTCTGTATGGCCTGCTTCTGTATGTCGCCAGCGCCATTAATACTTTCAATGATGGTATAGCCGGCAACCCCGGTAGGTAATGAATACGACCACGACATCAGCCAGTCGCCTAAGTAGTTGATATGGCGCGCCAATCCCCACCAGCCGGAAATCATTAGCTTGGAGCCACTTGATGTCTGGATGTATTTGATATGCTTCAAATGGGGGTCGTTGGGGTCCGTACGGAAACGGTTCTTCTGGTTGTTGGCGCCGCGGAAGATCCAGTATCCCACACCGGTAATGGTCAAGATTAACAGAATATCTCTCAAGGACAATACCACTGGGAAAACCGCAAGATATCTGGTTTGGAGATTGTAGATGAAGGGTACCCACACCAGGTGGCCAAAAGAGAGCATATAACCGAATCCATCCATAATCACATCCATCGTAGTTAGAACTGCTGGTTCCATGTACAGCGCATCCAACACATAGAAGGTTTGGGATGCGGTCGAGAGTACGATAGAGTTTGAGATGTAGCCATACGTTCTGTATTGGCGGGCCATGTTGGACAAGTTCAATATGATCCACCCAAGTAGTCCTGGCCGCATCTCACACCATACATTAATGTCAATCGTTCGTGAGGCCTCGTCGACAAAAGGAATAGGCAGTTGTATCCGCGGGTTCAGCTCCCGGCCTAGGAAGAAGTCATACAGAGCATTTCCGGTGTGGCCACCCGGTGCCAACTCTCTTAGTTTGGGATTGGGTTGACCAAGCTTAGGGACCGAGAAACTTTTTGCATAAACAAAGGTGGCGAGGACGATACAGATCACCAAGTTTGCCGTGATGATCTGCAAGTAGTTGTCCCAGATAAAAACCCATATAACGAAATCAGCACCGTACACGTATGTGCCCAGAGCTAAACCAGAGAGAATCCAAATGGCAGAAGAAAACGCTAGAACCCGGTTAGGAAGATATCATAAAAAGAGCGTCCAGGGGTTCATACCGTTGAACTTGTAGCGAAGCCTTCCTTTGCAGGCCAACTCCGTGCCCTCAACCACCTCGCCGGGTAGAAACACGTACAAAATCAGACTGAGAAAGTAATAACTCAGCACCCACATGGTCACTCGCATGTTAAAAAAGGCTTTGAGACCGTCTTGGGGCCAACCAACTTCCTCCTCTAACTTATCGAGAGAAAGTGTCGATGGATCGAGCAGCGACGGGGCAGGGCAGCCAGACACATCATTACAGAGGAAGGTAAAGGCGTAGATAAGAGTTGAGAGACCGAAGATAAATCCAACTGCGCCGAAACTGCTCAAGGTCAATCTTAGGAATCAAGCACGTGAGTCGTGACAATTGGGACCACATACGACCTACCAAACTCATGGCCCCGTTTCCACAGAACCGATTGAACCGGAACCTTAGCTTTGGAAGCCTTTCTAAGCTCCATGGTGTCTTTGAAATGAGGCGGAGTATCTCTAGAGGAGAGCAAGTATAGGGTGGGGGTAACGCAGGAGCGACAAGAGTTGTAGCAAGTCCGCAAGTATACCAGAGAACCCACCGAGGAGGCAGGGGAAAAAAAGAGTGCTATGGGAGTCTCAATGGCTTTGGAACCATCTGCTTACCTAGGTATATATAAATGTTGTATGCCTAGGTGCTAACAGCGTGGGCGTAAAGGGAAGCTTCGAAGAGGCAAGTAGGGTGGTCCGAGCCGGAAAAGTTGGTTGCCGATGTGAGACTGCGGGTACCTTTGATTCTCCACACTGCAGTAAGCCCTATTTATATCGATATATACCTATGTTGTAGGTAGGTAAGTATCCATATGGATAATTGAGGTCAAACACGGAAAGAGTATCGTTATACCCGGTATCGTTATAACCAGGGTTTACTGTAACCATGGCTGTAGCAGAAGGAGCAGCCATGTGAGTCTGACTATCAGATGCCATCTCTACAATCAACCGATAATAAGGAGATCATATGGAGAATTACGGAGCCTCTTATAAGGTACCAGGATACCTAGGTATCTCTTATCAAATAATATTGTTTTTGTTTGGAGTTACTTGATGCTGGGCCCTTTGTCGCGATTTAGATTGGACCCCGCGTAAGTTTAGCGCTGCGCTAATGCGACCAGCCAGCCAATCAATGCTTAACCGCCCGCGTCCCACTTGCGGCGCGAGCCTACGGGATCCCGTATTCGAAGCTCGAAGTTCGGTCTACATCCTTCTCTCCATAAAGGCCATATGAACCTGTGTGTCAATCTTTCTGGCTTTATACAGAATAATGACGCGGAATCTTCCTAATATACTCATGCATCCCTTCAAGGCATTTCGCCAGTCGCCCTGGGCATTGTCGTCCGCCCTTCCATCCCGAATCGACCCGTCCTTGCTGGTTGAAGAGGAGAACTCTCCCTACTACGAACCAGCCTATTTTTATCCGGCGCAGATCGGTGAAATACTTAATGACCGGTATCAAATTGCGACGAAGCTTGGCCACGGAAGCAGATCGAGTGTATGGCTTGCAAGGGACCTTCACCAGTTCGTATTGACCTATTCACATTTTAAGGTATATATTGACAGTTTAGGTGGCGCTGGTTAAACGAGCGATATATGACTCTTAAAATCAACTCCAATAATTCCCACACACGAAAAACTGCCGGTGACGTTGAGCTAGAGGTTCTGCGACATATAACGAGAGCGAACCGTCAACATGAGGGTTGGCGTTTCGTTCGAAAATTACTTGACTCGTTTTCTGTCCAGGGAATCTCAGGGAGTCATGTATGTCTCGTCTTCGAACCTTTACGTGAGTCACTGGGGAAATATTGCCAACGATGGCAAGGTCGCGTGATGCCACCGGAGATTTTCAAAATAATCCTCCAAGAAATACTCCAAGGGCTTGATTATCTCCACACTGAATGTCATATCATTCATACCGGTAAGAATTCTTATTTGTGTTAGTTAATAATATGGTTCTCATTCAAAAGCAATAGACTTAAAGCCAGATAACATTATGGTACGACTGGAAGATCGTGAGCTCTTATCCCAGAATGCTCGAGATGAGTTTCAAAACCCACTACCTCAGAAGCATTGCGACGATAGACGCATCATCTATCTATCCCGTAGGGACTATGGGCCGCTAAAGGACATTATCGGACTGATTGAAATCGTCGACTTTGACCTAGCAGTCCAAGGTGATATTCCTCAGGATGGCTGCATCCAGGCGGAGGTATATCGTGCGCCAGAGGTCATCCTTGACAGAGGATACACGTATAGTGCTGATATATGGAGTCTAGGAGTTATGGTACACAGTGTCTCCCTCCCCCAAACATACTAGCACAGACAACTAACCATTGAATGAAGCTATGGGATTTTCTAGAAGGACGAACACTATTTGAATCAGTTGATCCACGCACCGTTGAAGTTTATGATGACGAAACGCATCTTTCGTATATAACGTCGCTTTTGGGTCCTGCCCCTAAAGAATTTGTTAGCCGCGGCAAGAGGACATCGATGTTCTATACCGCTGCTGGTAAGTGAGTCTTTCAACTAAATATATTATATATAACTAATACTACATTTTAGGGACACTCAAAAAGAAAGACCTTGTTCCTAGTAACTTTAGCTTTGAAAGCACCATCTCCAAGATTGATGGGGAAGAAAAGAGGATGTTTATTCGCTTCGTCAACCGGATGATCAAATGGAAACCCGAAGAGCGAAGCACGGCGAAGGAGCTACTACAGGATCCATGGCTTCATAACGATTATCCGCAAATATGAGGCTGTCTTCCATCTTTGTTCAGCGATTATTCTGTCAAACCCGGCAATGTTTGAGCTAATAGCTGAGGGGCGTTGTTAGGGAATTAGTCGGGCCGCTTATAGATTAGTTTTCTATTAGAACAGTCGATTCAGTTCGGCTTTTAGGGGTTTAGTAAGTTAATACTTTTTATATTAATAACTTACTACTTCGGCCGAATTTTTAACTACTTTATACTTCTTAGAGGCCTCAGGTCCGTACAGCGCACCCGCTTTACTGCACCACACAAAAAAATCCAAAAAACGAGTTCGGGATGTACATCGGAATGCGGAGACATCGGAGTCCGTAGTTTCGGCAAGTTTGCCGATCTATACGGGATCGGATTATTTGCATGGTCTAGTATGATATTAATATTGATATTCAAGTTGGATAGAATGATAGATGATCGTCAAGGACAGAGGCCGCATAAATGTCTACTTATACAATATAACAATAACACTAACAATATAACAATGTTAATAGTATATTGGCAAATCTCCGGATCTCAGCGACGTCACCGATACACCCAAAGGAAGGTCCACCCCCGATTTACCCACATACAAATACCAACATCCCCCCAGGAGTTACCCTCAACATTTCTTCGCCATTTACATATATACCGATACCTCCGTACAAATAAACATCCAACAACAACAATCATGGCACTTTCCGCACCAAGCACAGACGTAAATCCCTACTCATCCCAATCCCAATCCCCCAAAAGCTAACCAAGAAACAGCCCAAAGTCCTAATCGCACAAGAAACAAGCACAGACCAAATCTTCCCCAAGTTCACAGCAGACACCGCCTGGCAACTCGGAAATGCACTGAGGGACCGAATCCTCCGCCTCCCGGAGGGCCAACGCAAGCCCGCCCTGGTCTCCATTGCGCTCAGCGGGGGCGCCCCACTCCACGTGGTGTTCCAGTCTGCGACAGAGAGCGGCACGATCCCAGACAACGAGAACTGGGTGCGACGGAAGCGCAACACCGTGCTCCGGTTTGGGATCTCGAGTTGGGCTATGAGACGGAAGATGGTTAGTGGGCTTGCGGCTGGTGCGTCGGCGAACGATGTCGAGGCGGCTTTTGTTAGCAAGTATGCTGTGCCGAGTGCTACTGGGGGTTCTGTTGCGGATGAATATGCTATCCATGGTGGTGCGTACCCGATTCGCGTGCGTGGTGTTGATGGGATTATTGGGGTTGTTGTTGTTAGTGGGTTGAAGCAGGAGGATGATCATCAGGTCGTTGCGGAGACTATTCAGGCGTTCGTGGCTCAGCAAGCGAAATAGAGGTTGTATTTGGTCAATACTATAAGATTAAGATGAGAAGAAAAATGTTCACTACATGATTATCACAATGAAGCGAAGGAGGGCCCGGGGACACAATGTACCTTTCGCGTGACATCCCTTGGCCTGAAGTATTACATACGCAAGTAGTAAGACACACCAGCATAACGTACTTGTTCCATCAAAATATAGTTCTATTGACCTGTTACTGCGGTACTATCTTTAATAAAAGAATGCAAGGTATCGTTGTATTGTATTCTGAGCCGGCGTTCAACAACCAGGCTGAAGAGTTGGAAGGGACACCAACAGTGGCCCGTGTAGATTCGAACACAAAAGGGGACTCAAGCAAAAGAAAAAAAAAAAGTGGAACTCCATGAATAATGCCTCAAAGATAATTTTACAGTTCGTCGTGGTCAAGGGGCTCGTCATCCTCATCAGGAGGAGAAGCAGAGCCGTACAGCTTGCTGGTGATGGGGTAAGCCACACCGGAAAGCTGCTCCTTCTGCTCCTCAAAGTCCTCCATGGTAGCGGTGGCGGCGTTGTCCTCGAGCCAGTCGTTGACCTCCTTAACGGCGTCGAGGATGGACTGCTTGTCATCCTCATCGATCTGGCCACCCAGACCGTTCTCATCGTTGACCTGGTTCTTCAAGCTGAAGGCGTAGTTCTCAAGGCCGTTACGGGCCTCGATCTTGCCCTTGATGGCCTTATCCTCCTCGGCGTATTGCTCGGCCTCCTGGACCATGCGGTCGATCTCCTCCTGGGAGAGACGGCCCTTGTCGTTGGTGATGGTGATGGACTCAGCCTGGCCAGTGCCCTTGTCGGAGGCGCTGACCTTGAGGATTCCATTGGCATCGAGGTCGAAGGCGACCTCGATCTGGGGAACACCACGGGGCGCGGGAGGGATGTTGGTCAGCTCGAACTTGCCGAGCATGTTGTTGTCCTTGGTCATCGAGCGCTCACCCTCGAACACCTGGATCAAGACGGTGGGCTGGTTGTCGGCGGCAGTCGAGAAAATCTGCGACTTGCGGGTAGGGATGACAGTGTTGCGGGGAATGAGCTTGGTCATAACACCGCCAGTGGTCTCGATACCGAGAGTGAGGGGGTTGACATCCATGAGAACGACATCGACCATGGAGTCATCACCGGAGAGAATACCACCCTGAACGGCGGCACCGAAGGCAACGGCCTCATCGGGGTTGATACCCTTGCTGGCCTTCTTTCCGGCGAAGAACTCCTCGAGAAGACCCTGGACCTTGGGGATACGGGTAGAACCACCAACAAGAACGATGTCATCAACCTCGGACTTCTTGACCTTGGCGTCCTTCAGAACCTGCTCAACAGGCTTGAGGGTCTTCTTGAACAGATCAACGTTAAGCTCCTCGAACTTAGCGCGGGTAAGAGTCTCAGAGAAGTCCTCGCCGTTGTGGAAGGCCTCGATTTCAATGCGAGTGGACATCTGGGAAGACAGAGTACGCTTGGCCTTCTCAACCTCGCGCTTAAGCTTACCCATAGCCTTAAGATCCTTCTTGACATCGGTGTTGTTCTTCTTGTTGTACTGCTTGACGAAGTACTCCATGACACGGTGGTCGAAATCCTCACCACCAAGGTGGGTGTCACCGGCGGTAGCCAGAACCTCGAAAACACCGTTGTCAATAGACAGAAGAGACACATCGAAGGTACCACCACCAAGATCGTAAACAATGACCTGGCGCTCGTCACCGGTCTTATCAAGACCGTAGGCGATAGCGGCGGCGGTGGGCTCGTTGACAACACGGAGGACGTTGAGACCGGCGATGGTACCGGCATCCTTGGTAGCCTGACGCTGGGCGTCGCTGAAGTAGGCGGGAACAGTAACAACGGCGTGGGTGACAGTCTTGCCCAAGAAGCTCTCGGCGATCTCCTTCATCTTACCGAGGATCATGGCGGAAACCTCCTCAGGGGTGAAGGTCTTGGGGGACTGGTTGACGTCGACCTTGACTTGGGGCTTGCCATCCTTCTTGACGACCTTGAAGGGGTAGTTCTTGACGTCCTTCTGGATGTCCTTGTCATCAAACTTGCGACCAATCATACGCCTGTGGTGTGTTAGTGCTGAGTTCATGCTGCGATGGGGTGGGGTGTAGTGGGTGCTTACTTGATGTCGAAGACAGTGCGCTCGGGGTTGGCGGCATATTGGTTCTTGGCGGCGTCACCAACGAGACGCTCCTCATCGGTGAAAGCAACGTAAGACGGGGTAATACGGTTTCCTTGGTCGTTGACAAGAATCTCGACCTTGCCGTTCTGCATCACACCAACACAACTGCAGTGAAAGTTAGCAACCTGTCCTATTCAAGATCAATCGTTTTTCCAAACTGTGGGAACTTACGAGTAAGTGGTTCCCAAATCAATACCAATAACATTGCCGTAGCTCTCAGGGGAGTTCTCCTCCTGGGCGTGGGCAGTGTTTCCAAAGAACGCCAGAGGCGCGACGAGGACGAAGAGAAGGTAGAAGATGGTGGTCCAGGCGAAGGGCTTGGAGGCGCCATCGCGTGCGGATAGGCGAGCCATTGTGAAAGATGTATGTATAGATAGGTGGATCGAAGTCCTTTTTCAACACGAAGACACAAAAAAGCTGTCGTTATGAAGCTTTGCGCGTGCCGCTCTAAACAGCTGCGCAGACGAGTAAACACAAGGCGTGTTTGACTCTATGAACCTTTATGTTAGTCGATGATATGTGGGAAAGGGACCCAGGGCGAAGTGAGTGAATGGGAGAATGGTTAAGAGAAGAATCGAAGAAAGAGGACTTCTTGTACGCGGATATGACCCAGCGGCCATGCTGGCCTTTTCCCAGTTCAGGTCACTTCTCGTGCGCTCATTGGCTGGAGTTCATTCGGCAGTGGCTGACTCAGAAACCGCCCTGCAGCCACACCGCCTTCCTCAACAGGCATCCTACTTCCCAAAGTAATCTAGTGGCAGGGGTCAACCCACAGACTACTCAGGACTTCCACCAATCAGCAGCTGCCAAATGATCGAACTTGCTAGAAGGGGGGACCAATGTTTGCCCCTTCGGGGAATCCAATCTCAGCTGCCACTGGAGTTTACCCGGTTGACTCATGTCCTTACTACTGACCACGTGTTGCTACATTGTTCTATGCTACATTGTAACATTGTAACATCCCAATCTGATGTCGATTCATTGATTATAATAAGTGGCATCTTGATCGAGAGAGAGAGAAAGAGAGAGTGTGTGTGCTATCGAGGTAGTATACTCGGGCCTATTTTGGTCGGGGATCTCCGTGTAGGGGGCGTGGCACAGAGCACCCACCATGTCCTGGGAATTTAGTACAGCAGCTTATGAGTCTAACTCTAATGGCACTACTCATGCGATATACTTCAATAATTCATTCAATAATTGAGTCTGAAATCATTTCCTAAATATTATCTAAAATCATACATTCGAAATCATATTCGAGGACCATACCTATCGATAGATCAGCTCTAGATCAAATACTATCTACTCTATGATATATATATATCTTTTCATACTTGTAGTATCACCAAAAATTCTAAATAAACAATGATCTGCTACCAAGCATATCGAATGAGATTGATTTCGATTATAAGAAAGATCATTCTAATAAACCAGCAGCCACCGTTGATCCTCCCGCGCGCAGGACAATCCTGGTCGGTGCTTCCAGAGGAACAGCCTGATCGATTTCAACCACAATACGCGCCACGACACCCGGGCCGACGATTTTAGGACGTTTCTTAATAGCCGCTCCTGATGCTTTATCTAGAGAGGCAACCAGCTTGCTGATGCGACCGGGTACATGTAGACGGCCACGGTGCACATCCACTTGCATGGGCATCAGGTGTTCGAAGGCCAAAACCTTGGCGGTGAAAGACGTGATGGTAGGAATAGGAGAGGAAGGACGGCAAACAACGTCACCAGAACGGAGGTGAATAGGGTCGATATTTGCGATATTTAAAACCACGTTTTGACCCGCCACAGCCCAGTCGCTTGGTTCGCTGTCCACCTCCAAGCTCCGCACAGTTGCTGTTTCGCCACTAGGCATGATCATGATCTGGTCACCCATCTGCAAGCTGCCTGCGTCAATACGGCCAGAGATCGAAAGCGGACTTTGCACGCCACCTCGAAAGACATCACCGATGGTCATACGCAAGGGCTTCTCGAGGGCGTGTGTGTATGGCTCCGACGTTTCCAATTCTTCAATCAACGTGCGACCTGTGTACCAGGATGCATGAGGGTCGTCACTCCGCCGAGAAATGTTGTCTCCCAGAACTCCTGAGCAAGGCACAAAGGAAATGTTGCTGTCATGGAAGCCTGCAGTTGTCAGGAACGCAGAGATCTGCTGTTCAATCTCCTCAAATCGTTCGTGATCCCATTGTACCGTATCCATCTTGTTCACAGCCACCACGATCTTTTGAACGCCCATGCTGCGCACCAGCAGAGCGTGCTCCTTAGTCTGACCCTTCAAGCCCGACTCGAATTTGCCCACACTGGAATCAATGACTAGAACAGCAAAGTCTGCCTGACTGGCACCAGCGATCATGTTCGGGACGAAATCACGGTGACCTGGTGCATCAACAATGGTGAAGGCTGTCTTGTCGGTCTCAAACTGATTGGTCGCGATGTCTATTGTCACGCCTCGTGCTCTCTCCTCCGACCCTTGGTCCAGCACCCAGGCTAGCGCGAATGAGCCCTTGCCGATCTTCTCGGCCTCTCGCCGATACCTATCTAGAGTCCTTTGGTCGATGGCACCTTGATCTGCTAACAACCGTCCCATGAGAGTGCTCTTTCCAGCATCGACGTGACCTATGTAGGATATGTATCAGCCCAGGTCCTCACCTTCTTGTCGATCGAAATTGACTTACCAATAACCACGAAGTTTGCAGACCGCTTGCGGGTGGACTTCTTGTACTCTGATATAACATCAAGATTCTTGCTCTTGACGGTCACTTTGTCTTCCACTGAGAGATCCTTCATGCCACCTGCCAGATCAGACTGGCCTTTCTTCCCCGCTGCCGATTTCGATGCGGCTGATTTCGACTTCATACCTACATATTATTAGGCAATTGCCTTTAAACCTTCCTGCGGGTCGCCAAACCTTTCGCTGTGTTCTGTGCATTGAGAACGACATCGTCGGGGCTGGGCGCTGCAAAATCAAAAGGTTCAGCATGATCCTGTCCATAGATTCTCAACAGGTCTGAGCTGGAGTGTAAGTGGCTGGGCTCAGCTGCCGTCGGGCCCGTTGCTGCGCCAACGATAGCGCTGGCAAATGGCGAAGGCGGGGCTCGAATGGTAGGCACTGGTCGTTGGGGTTCTGGTTCTTTTACTTCAAGCACCATGCTTTGCATTGATTCGGAAACCTCAGACGCTGATGACTTTCTGGTGTCAGATTCGGGACGCTTCGGTGTCGGATGAGAAGAAGAGTTTGGGGTTGTCAAACGGCGAGACACAGGACCCTCTGAAGCTTTTGGTGTGGACCTCCCGCTAGCTGCAAGTCTGTCACGAAGGGAGCGCGCAGCACCCGCATGATCAAGCGAGGGTGTCTTTGGTTGTTCGAATTTGGGAGTTGATGGAGTCGAAGTCTCCGGTTGTGATGGTGCCTTCTCGCCCTCTTTCTTCTTCCGGGCTGCAGCTAGGGCGGCCAATTTGGAAAGTTTTCCACCACTCTCCGGTGCACCCCCAAGAGCCCCAAACGTGGATAAAGTGGCTCAATCAGGATATCCGATTTCCGATGAGAGGGGACGTTGAGCCAGGGACAATCGCGAAAGAAATCGGCGGCCGAGAAGTGTGCTGTAGCAGGAGGAGCAGGGTATGTCGGCACTGGAAGACCTGTTAGAACATTGTTCAAACTTCTATAACATCAGTTTCGACTCTCTAGATACAGCATGGGATTCTTTTCATCGGATACACACATTTTGATTTGCAAGGAACAGCAGCACCGATGACCAGGGCGCGCAGAATATCTTGTGCCCCAGACCCAGACCCAGACCCTGAGCCCAGCGACGACACTCTAGGATAACAATTGCCCGATGAACACTGCTTACCTGGTTGAATCTTCGATTTTTGCAGCTTGGTAGCCTCCTTCTCTCTCTTTCCTGCACGTAGAACTTGGATTAGCTGGAAACAACAACAAACATTTGAACGCGCAAACTGCATAGGTAATTTATGTGATGCGGAGTATCTGTGGAAATTGAACTGAACGTACCCCTCAAATAGTTGACTGACTTCTCGATATCATTGTAGTAATGCCATAATGCATCCTGGACTTCTTCTTTCGTGGCGGTCACTGACGGTTGCCCGGCATTGAGCTGTTGCAAAACAGCGGTAGTACACTGTTGCAAAAACTCCTGTTCCTCGGGGTCAGCAGTTACGTCGTCGTCATCGTAAAAATCGTCATCGTCGTAATCGACATCCTTAATACGGTGTCGCGACATTACGGCGTGGGGAGGTGGGGTAATAAACAGAGGGGTTCAGTGACGGAGAAGGGACCGTAATCTAGTTACATAGCAATTGCACCTGACCGCCTTTTTGACCGCCTTCCTCACCGCCCTTTAATGTGATGACATCTGTACGTCTGTGCCTTCAATTGGCTCTGCGAGGCTATTTCTAACCTGAACACAACATAGCTTTGACATATAACTTGCAGAATTGACGAAAGATACTTAGAATCGTCTATATATCACTGGATATATAATCTATGGTGCAGCTTCTTATATCGAAAATCAGATTTGCTAGGGCAAATACTTCTCCCGTTCTTGACAAACATCTTATATGATGGAGACTAATAACTCCATCCAACCCAAGAAGCAGTATATTGTCTAGACTAGAATCTGCATAATTCTATCCACAAGTTGAGTTTATCACCTCTAACGGTCTGAGAATATACGTGATATGCTTTTACGACACGCATTGTGCCGAAAGAGCCATGTGGGAAAAATGTAAGAATATTCATCTATCGAAGGGGACTATCTCCAAAAAAGTCACCGGTACCAGGTCCAGAAAAGCTCCCATTACTCGGGGTCAAGGCAATCGATCTTCGGAAAGCCTGGCGAGGGGTGGTAGGGACGCTGGGGGATCCAGCGATGGGAGCGGCCGATGTTGGGGGGACTGGCACCACGGATCGTGTGTCCGGGGTGCTAGGAGTGTTGCGACCGCTGTCATTCTGCATGGTGACAGCGGTGCCAGGTCGGGAGAGAACGGTCATGGTGCCTCCGTTTTTAGGAGGTGGACGGAATCCTAGCTTCGAGCCTTCGCGGAAGATCTCTTCAAGCATTTGTGAGACAATGCCTGCATCCTCGTATTCCTGGAACTTTTTCCAGAGGCGTAAAGCCATGCGAGCATCCTCGATTGAATCGTGACCTTGTGCCGTGTCGGGCGCGGGTTCCTCTTGGATATGCTCCTTGAACACAGCCCAAGCCAGGTACCTGAGACTGAGACGCCGGTTCTTTCCGGGGTGGAAGAAGAGGTACTGTGTATCCACAGTTTGTGCCTTGGGTACTTGGATGTTGATTTTGCGGAAATCAGAGGCTAGACCGTGACCAACAAATACACAGCCGAGGTTTAGAAGCAGCCAGAGCTTCTTGTAGGCAACCTTGAGTGGAACAAGATTGTGTTCACTGGTTCGCGGATCCAGGTCACCGGGCTTGATGCCGGAAAACTGAGTCACATAGTCCACAATTGGCTCACGGATGGTGATATAGTCATCTATAAATGGAACTCCTTCTTGAACACCCACACCGCGCAAGACGGAAACACGGGCCAGCCCGCTCTT